CGACATTATGGAATTCCAGAAAAAATAGTCAACATAATTGCTCTCTTCTATAAAGACTTTTCCTGCAGTATAAAAAAATTACAATACATCTTTCCCAGTAAAGACGGGTGTAAGACAGGGATGTGTTATGTCATCTCTCCTCTTCAACCTTGTGATTGATTGGATACTAAAGAACACAATAGACAGGACATTGAGAGGCATACGATGGACTCCATTCACCATGCTTGAGGACCTTGATTTTGCAGATGATATAGCACTACACAGACTACACAGCACAGCAGAAATGGTGGGACTGAGAATAAATACAAAGAAAACTAAGATCATGACAAGCAGTCCAAACCAACAACCAGTGACCATAAGTAACAAATCACTTGAAAATGTAGAACATTTCACATATCTTGGCAGTGCGATGTCCCTGCCTGGAGGGACCGAAGAGGACATACAGTCACGTCTGAACAAAGCTAGAGCTGCTTTTGGAAGGATGAGGCAAATCTGGAAATCCAACAATTACTGCAGAGGAACGAAACTCCGACTCTACAAGAACATCATTTTGCCAGTTCTTCTTTATGGAGCGGAATGCTGGAGAATGACCAAAAAGGGTGCACACAAGCTGTCTACCTTCCACCACACATGTCTACATAGAATTATCAACATTTTCTGTCCAGATACAATCTCAAACACTAAACTACTTCAAGTCACAAACCAAGAAACTTTAGACAATATAATAACCAAGAGAAGATGAAAATGGCTTGGCCACCTTATGAGAATGAATCCTGATATACCAGCCAAAACAGCTCTCACATGGACACCAGAGGGAAAGAGAAAACAGGGGCGCCCAAAAACAACATGGAGAAGAACGATGGAAAGTGACCTGACGTGGAAAACTGCACTGAAGATTGCACAGGACAGGAAAGCATGGAAAGTCCTCTCTGGAGCCTCATGTGCCACTAGGCACAACGAGAACTGATGATGATGACTTATCAACCTTACGTGTGTTACAAAGGCTCCTGCCCGGCTCTCTAGCGTAGTTGGCTAAATCGGATAGCGCGGAGACCGGGTGACGAACTCCTCGTGGTCCGGGTTCAATCCCGGGGGTAGGCAGGAAAGCCACATCTATCCCAGATTTACGGTATTTACAATGGAATCAAGGCCGAAAGGTTGCGATATCCATAATACCGAGTCTAAGGGTTAACAACTCAGGGCTTCTGGAATCTAAAACAAACAAACAAACCAAGGCTCCTAGAGGCAAACAAACCTAACACTCTAACATAAAATGCATGTCATAAGAGGCGACGAAGGAAGGTTGAACTGAGACTGGTTACCCCCACCCTGCAGAAAACGTTGACTGCAAGCCCAATTAATTATTAATTAGACTAGGCCACGAGTGGGCAAACTATGGTCTGCGGGGTCAAATTAGCCCACCAAGCAATTTGTATTGGCCCACGAAGCTGGTGTAAAAAATCACAAATTAGCAGAGCACCATAACATATGTTCGTATGCAGAAGAAAAAAATTCTTAATATCAGCATTAAAAAGTGATAATCAAAACAGTGATCTTTGGGGATCATTACCGGATATACGCAATTCGTGCTTTGTGCGGCACTCTCGACAGCCGTTCTGTGGAAAGAAAGAGAGAGACCGAGCCATTTTAGGTTAGGGTAAAACCTGGTTCAGTGAAGTCGATCCTCGCGACTTTAAAATGTCACTGATGTTTACAGTGTAATTTTCTTTCTGTATGGCCGGTGACCACCACGTGGTCATTCTAAATTTAGCCCAGGGATTTAAACCCAAAAAAGTTGCCTACCGCTGATCCAGGTGCACAAATAGCTTCACCTGGCCCTGACCTAGGTGCACGAATAGCTTCGCCTGGCCCTGATCTAGGTGCACGAATAGCTTCGCCTACTCATGATCTAGGTGCACGAATAGCTTCGACTACTCATGATCTAGGTGCACGAATAGCTTCGCCTGACCCTGATCTAGGTGCACGAATAGCTTTACCTAGGGCTATTCTATGTGCATGAATAGCTTCGCCTACTCCTGGTCTAGGTGCGAGAACAGCTTCGCCTGGCCCTGATCTAGGTGCACGAATAGCTTCACCTAGGGCTATTCTAGGTGCATGAATAGCTTCGCCTACTCCTGGTCAAGGTGCACGAATAGCTTCGCCTGGCCCCGATCTAGGTGCACGAATAGCTTCGCCTACTCATGATTTAGGTGCACGAATAGCTTCGCCTGGCCCTGATCTAGGTGCACGAATAGCTTCACCTAGGGCTATTCTAGGTGCATGAATAGCTTCGCCTACTCCTGGTCAAGGTGCACGAATAGCTTCGCCTGGCCCTGATCTAGGTGCACGAATAGCTTCGCCTGGCCCTGATCTAGGTGCACGAATAGCTTCGCCTACTCATGATCTAGGTGCACACAAAAACTTCGCCTACTCATGATCTAGGTGTACGAACAGCTTCGCCTGGCCCTGATCTAGGTGCACGAATAGCTTTGCCTACTCATGATCTAGGTGTACGAACAGCCTCGACTTGTCCTGATCTAGGTGCACGAACAGCTTCATCTGGCCCTGATCTAGGTGTACGAATAGCTTTGCCTACTCATGATCTAGGTGCACAATAGCTTCGCCTACTCATGATCTAGGTGCACGAATGGCTTCGCCTACTCATGATCTAGGTGCACGAAAAGCTTCGCCTGGCCCAGATCTAGGTGCACGAATAGCTTCGCCTGGCCCTGACCTAGGTGCACGAATAGCTTAACCTACTCATGATCTATATGCACGAATAGCTTCGCCTACTCATGATCTAGGTGCACGAACAGCTTCGCCTGGCCCTGATCTAGGTGCACGAATAGCTTCGTCTACTCGTGATCTAGGTGCACGAATAGCTTCGCCTACTCATGATCTAGGTGCACAAATAGCTTAGCTTGTCCCTGATCTAGATGCACGAATAGCTTTGCCTACTCATGATCTAGGTGCACGAACAGCTTCGCCTGGCCCTGATCTAGATGCACGAATAGCTTTGCCTACTCATGATCTAGGTGCACGAATAGCTTCGCCTAAGTTGATTGCGTTCCCTGGCTTCAATTGTTGAAGAAGTAGAAGCTAGCACAGTCTGGTTTCTATATACTGAATGTCTGTGTCAGCGTGTTTATGTGACCTTACATCAACCCACCCCGCTCCATCACTTTTTTTCTAACACTTCACATAGCCACGAAAATCTAACCCTTAGCAGCTGAATGCCAGTTAAATCCCTGCTCAAGAAGAATAGAACTGGTCAAACGAAGATATAGAAGTAAGCATGTGGAGGGGTGAGTGAGGAGAAAAGGTGAGAGCGAGACGTGAGTCAACAGCCAGAGAATGCTGTTTCTATGGCAATGCGTTTGTTTGCGTGATGTTCCCATATGGACGGCACTATCGCACAAAGAGAGCCTGCAGTGCACAGGAGAATAGCTGCTGAGCCAAATTCATAATCGCTCATCTACCAGATCCAACTTGGCAGATAGTACACTACGCCAAGAGGGGCAGAAGAGGAAAGGCATAGAATATGAGAGGATCTACGATGTGGCTGGCAGAGAGAGAGAGAGAGAGAGAGAGAGAGAGAGAGAGAGAGAGAGAGAGAGAGGCTAAGGTGATCGAGGGGAGTAGAGAAGTGGATAATATAGAGGGAGAGAAAGTGAGAGAGAATGTGTAAAGGCATGGGCAGAAGAGCTAGAACAAATAAAAGAAAGAAAGACCGAAAGAACAATGGGATGAAGAGAAATGGGGAGAGAGCGCAAGGAAAGGGGGGGGGGGGTGAGAGAATAGCAGTGTTTCAGACAGAGTAACAGAGTCAGGCAGATACAGAAAGAGAGAGGAAAGATGGAAAGAGAGACTGACTTTCTACCCCACTAGGACATCACACAAGCAATAAACACCCGATGACACAAATTGCCACCATGTGGGTGAGGATCGCCGTGGAGAGGTCCCAGAAACCGCGTTCAGACAATTGGCCATATTTATAGCCTACCTATATTGCGGCCCTTGGCAAAAGCCAGGGTGGGGCTTCAAATAACAAAAGATTTGGTCCTAAAAAGGACGAAACACCCATTGCTAGGTGTGGTGCTTACTTGCAATAATAGAGACAGAGAGAGAGACGTTGTGTGCAGGCCTGGGGCAGACACAGTCAAAGATTATGCATTCGATATGTAGAAAATTCGTACCCATGCGAAGCTGTAAGATATTTTCCATATATTTCTCTCTGTTTCTTTTTCCGTGACCTATTCCTCCTTCACTTCTCTCTTTTATACACAGATCCATACCAAACATAATGTTGCCTTATGCTGTTACTGACTATGTTGATTGCTGAAGTTACAAGTGTGTGTGTAAAAACACTCTCACTGTGTATCACCTTACTAAAGGTTAAGACCAAACATCCACGAGTTGTCTGCCCCTGTTACCTACACGTTAGTACTTCGTTATCTTACACAAGACACAGCAGTGTTCTGAACTGCGCCTACTTACTTCCCCTGGTGGGATACCTGAACTCCCCCCAGTTATTTGGAACTCGGATGATCATGCCAAAGAAGGTGGTAAGAGAATCTGGTGTGTGCGCGTGCGGCACAGGCCTAACCCCCACACTCTCGAGAAGCTTCTCTGATAGGCTGTTCCAACGTTTCTCCCACTCCCTGGACAGAAAGGTATGCCGGCGTGGAGGCAGGAACACACGTGCCCTTCTCTGAGTATCCAAGAAAGAGCGCACGTCCTAAATTACACCTCTTCGGTACGTGCAAGTGAGCAGCATTGTCGCGCTGTGTTGGTGGAACCGTCGGCGTGCTGCATCTTACCATTTAGTCTCCAGACACTCCTCCGATCAGCTCTCGGCCGTCGAGTCTCTTCTTTCGGTAGGGTTCAAGTCGACTCCTCCAGCTTTCATCGACTTCGAAGTCCATCTCAACCAGCTCGGCTGCTCCGACTTTATTTAATTTTCCAGTTTACAAGTAGTAGTCGCACCACCACTAGCAGCCATGGACGCCATCAAGAAGAAGATGTTGGCCATGAAAATGGAGAAGGAGAATGCCTTGGATAGGGCAGAACAGGTGGAGCAGAAGCTGCGAGACTGCGAGGCTCAGAAAAGCAAGGTATGCGCCATTTATTTCTGTATTATTTATGTTATTCTAAATAAGCTTGCATACACAGCATAAAGCAATAAGTAATAACTATTTGATACTGTTGAACCGGGTTTCTTGAGTTTTCCTGGTATTTGCATCCATATTGCGCCTCTTTGGGTCACGTAGTGTCAATCTAAGGTTGCAATTCTGGGGTTGGGGGAGTGGGTGAAGTTAAAATAATTATATTTCTGTACAGGTCAAATTATTGCAGATCTGATCACAAAACATAAAGATAATTTTAATACACACAAAATATTAAAAATCATTGAACATCTGTTATTTGTAAAAGTCAAATACAGATCTGGTCAGAAAACATGAGTAAAGATAATTTCAACATACATACAAAATAAAAGTCCCTATTCATCCGTTAAAATGAATATAACAATATTATTGTGCGTTCTAGCCAGTTTTATGCCAAACTTTGTGCCAAACATACACATAAATACACATGTACAGTGTACTTAATTACTCAGACTCTGAAAGCTTGAGCGGTCAGGAATTACAGCCAAAAACATTATATTGCTAATAAAGGCAACTGTTTGTTTCATTTCTGTTCTGTTTACAATATTTTTAGCAGTCCATACACAATGATCTAAATGCAAAAATAGGAACACTGAAAATTAATAATTGCCACTATTTTTTGTTTTGAGAACATAACCATAAGAAGCAGTTTTTTCTTTCTATTTAATATAATATGTGAATAATAAAAATAAACAGATCACCTCATAAAAAATGTGGCCTGTTTAATAATTCCACAGGTATAGACACCAGCATAGACAAATAGGAGAGACAAATCTTCAATAACAAATGTCTATAGAGTTTACGGGAAATGTATCTACACAACACCTGCTCTTGTCTGTTTAACATCCAGCTACCAGACTTGTGTTTTCTGTTGAATATCCCTAATTTAATGACCTTATCCTGGATGGTAGCTGTCATGTCGCAGTATCATTTATTGATCCCACTAGACTTTTAAGTGGAATAGTCTTGGTTTTTCTCAGATGGTGAATAAGCAGCTTTGTATTTCTAGTCTGGTATCTAATTCCATATATTATATATATATATATATATATCTCTCTCTCTTTCTCTCTCTCTCTCTCTCTCTCTCTCTCTCTCTCTCTCTCTCTCTCTCTGTTTCTTTCTCCATCTCTCTCTATACATATATATATATATATATATATATATATATATATATATATATATATATATATATATATATATATCTCTTCCCTCTCTCTCTCTCTCTCTCTCTCTCTCTCTCTCTCTCTCTCTCTCTCTCTCTCTCTCTCTCTCTCTCTCTCTCTCTTTTAGTGTAATCAGCTCTGGCTGTAGAATATGTGGAACTGGATACATAAATTAACATTGTTCTTGTACAAAACTTGTCCACAAATATAACTAACCAAGCATCTTATAAAAGGTATCATAAATAGGTAAAGACTTCAGCAATAAAAACTCAATTTTGTTTATTCAATGCCCTGTTATGAAAAGACAAGTATTTGCGTTAAAAAATGATACAACCATCACCTGGAGAAGACACCTAAGTCGGAGACAAATTTACGTAATCCTGCGAAATGAAGAACGACACTGAGGCACACGGTAGCCACCGGACACCGAGGCACACGGTAGCCACCGGACACATCATAGATGGACAGACTGCGGCCGACAGAAACAAATGATGCTGAATGGTTAAAGACTTGTGGAGAAATACGATCGTATTATGGTGGAATTGGACCAGATCATCCTGGACCGAGGTTTCCAGAGGTAGATAAAAGGCTATAAGATAAACACACACAACACACACACACACACACACACACACACACACACACACACTGATGTGTACACAGTCAGTCTGAAATTTGTTCCGTTAAACAAATTTTTCTCTATATTGTTTACGAATGTTTCTCCTTGAGTACAAAATGTTTTTATTATTATCATTATTAAAAATATGTCCAACGACTTTCTCATCAAAAGGCTAACTGTAATGTTTCCAAAATATGGACCTTAGTGTCAATTCTTGCATGACCAGATTTTACAAGAAGCTAATGCCTAGTTTGTGCAACATTATATTTAATGTGAAAGCTAAACTTAGCCAGCATGCGAATCAAAGCAAATTCCTAACTAACCAACAGTAATATGTTAAAAGAAAAGTGAACATAAACTACAATCTTATAAGAATCTGCTGCTTCGTGCTTTGCATGTATATGCATTTTTTGTTGTCCATTGCTTCTTCTTGATATCTCTTTTCCCACCTTCCTTCCAAGTTTTCATTTCTATATCACCATTTGTTTTTCACATGTTCTCAACCTAGTCCTTTTCTCCGGCCGTTCTTCTATATGCTCAAAATGAAAATAAATATCTGCAAAATAAACTAAACTACTGTTTTATGAAATACTTTCAACTCCCTCTCCCAACCTGACACAGACTTCACAGGAGAATTACAATGTATCAAAATTAGTTTAACCTTATAATGAGCAGAAGAAGCCAGAGTATGAGATTACGTGTATGTGCTAATTGAGATGAATAGGTAGGCACATAAATTTAAAGTGTGTCCAGTACAACGCCAACTTGGAAAACAAAAATCTTTTGATTTATTATAATTTTTTTAGCTACCAAGGACATGATTATTTCAGTAAACGACGATTCTATTGCCAATTGCTAACCCAGATAAATGGTTACATTTGTCCTTTGTTTTGAACAGAAGAAAAAACGTTATTTAAACGACTTTGTAGAACCAACCCCAGCATTTTTTGGCTGTTTGTGATTTAATCAGGCAATTTTACTTTTCACTGTACTAAACGGTCGGCTCTCCATACCGCCGTTTAAACCAATGAAAGGTGTTCTGTTGCCAGATCGCCCGCAGCTGGGATCAAGCACGGCATTTCCCTGTTACCAAGCCAGTTCTCAATGCCTAATCCACAATTCCGACAAAAAGGGCATAGTTATAACCAAATCACAAACGAAACAAAGGGTTTACTAAGCAGTCATCCCGTATTATAGTCTTGGAAATAGCTGCCCCATAATCTGACAATTAAGGCGCCAGTTAAGAGCACATTTTTGTAAGCAAGTACATTCATGCAAGACACGTGATGGTGGTGACAATTTTTGGGAGCCAAGCAGCATTCGTCTCAACTGGGTCATAACCTTTGCACTCACCCCATATCAGAAGTTCATTCATCAATGCTCCAACTTTCATCTCATTCTTAAAAGGAAGGTGGGGTATCCTCCCCCCCCCCCACCCCAATAACGATATTTCCCCCTCGATAATTTAGCCCTCTGATAGCCTATGCTTTTTACTATGCACTAAGAGCAGACTCTATAATACGACCTTGACTCCCAGATCCCAGCTTATCATCGTTGGGTTCGTTCCCTCCTGACTGCCATCAGAAGGTTTACCATACCATCATTAGACTACGGAAACAGTGGCTCCATCTGATACAGCACGCAGCGTTTCGCAAAATCACCGTCCTTTTTGTCCCAGGGTAAGCTAGTGTGAAAGGCAATGAGAGAGCAGACGCCATGGCTGGCAGTGCGACTATCAGAAATGGGCCATCTATGGACAGGAGAGACATCATCAATGCCACACGAGAGACCAAACTGTGGGGTTTTCATTTCGTGGAAAATGATTTTTCACTGAATAGACTGCATATCCTGGGTGTACCAACTGGAGCGACGAGACAAGAAAACCATAGGAGAGCCACCCGTCGTTAATCATCCAGAACAGAATGGGAGTTGTTAGCCTAAAAACATTTGGAGAAATACTTAGATCGGAGCACTTATGGTCATTCCCGGTGTGCGATGAAGATTATCTCAAAAATAAACAAGAACATTATACTACATAATCTGCATGGTAGACAAACAAGGCTGATCATAGATACCCCGTTCAACCTCCTAGAAGTTATAATTGGGACACATGTAACGGCTACTCCTGCCAGGTATAACCGGCAGTCCTATGTAGGGTAAGGATGGTGCTAGATAACAAGTTGAAAGGCTACGTCAAGTGAAGTACCTTTCTTATATAAAGAAAGCAGAAGATTTACTATTTTTCCCTCGCTTTTTCCACAGTTGTTGTTATGTGTTTTTATCCAAAATCCAGGGTATTTGATGCTAAATATCTCAAATTATAGTTAAGATATTGATTTTTCTTAGACGGCGATGGATAAAAAGGTTGTCCATGATATAAAAGAAACTACTCTATACGGTCCTCAATTGTTGGAATAAAGTTTTATTACCTCCCTTTGACTTATCTGCCAAATAATTTCAAACCAACAAAATCAGGAAGTTAACCCGATCAACAAATGCTCGATGAGGTCCCATGTGTCGACCGTAAGGCGCAAATATCGTAGTTCTGCTGTAAACAGGCACAACGCAGTTACATCACTCGGATGAACGAAAACAAGAAGCAGAAAGAAAAAAAATGGCCAAAAAAAAATTAAGATGTAATGGATATATAGGGCTGCTACGTACAGATTCGAACCCACGACTTTCAATTCCGGGGAGAGGGGAGTGATTTCACCTAACGAACATAGTTATAACCAAAACATGGACGAAATAAAATAGAGGGTCAACCTTTAAGTAGCAGCCAGGGGGGGGGGGGTGCAAACTGATCAATCGATCGAAATCTATCACCAAAATCCAAAAGTTTAACTGATCAATCGATCGAAATCTATCCCCAAAATCCAAAAGTTTAACTGATCAATCGATCGAAATCTATCCTTAAAATCCAAAAGTTTAAGAGCAAGATTATTATTACACATTTCCAAATTATACAATTTTTAGGCTTTAAAAAAAATAAAGGTAGAAAATCTTGAAACTGGTCTGGTAATTTTCTTACTAAAAGAACTAGTCCAGTAGAATTAGTTCCCCAATCAATCCTACAGTTGCCGAAGAATGCCCACTATAAGTTTTTGAAGTGGGATTTGGATTAACTCCTGTTAGATTCCATCTGAATAGTAACTTCTTGAGTTACTTAGTGTCAATCTTTTACGCTGTAATCCCCGAAAGGGACAAAATCAGTTCCTTGAAGAAAATATAAGCTTTATTTAGCCAGCCACGTAGAAAAACCGGAGGTTACTTAGCAACCTTAGAGCGTCCCAAAATTATTATTCTGCGCCGTTGTGCAAGTTGTCTTTAATTTTCTTGGACAAGCATCCAAATAGGAGTTATTGTAATCCTGGAGGGGACATTTTTTCATGTTTCTTTTACTCGTGTTGTAATTTGTTCAACTGGAACAGCGTCTTCTCTGCTATTTTTAACAAACTATTTTCTATGAGTTGTTATTTAGAACACCTGTTTTTCCACTTTCTTGCTTTTTATTACTGTGTTTTCCTTCGGTTATCTTTTAACTTGTTGTGTTCACTTGTTTATCTCTGAAACTGTTTCCTCTTAGATGTATATCAACATAATGGTTTCTTCAGGTTATCTTTATATACAGTGTTTTTTCTTCTTTGGCAAAGGTGTCTCACCCACCTCTGATCTCTCTTTCTCTCTCTCTCTCTCTCTCTCTCTCTCTCTCTCTCTCTCTCTCTCTCTCTCTCTCTCTCTCTCTCTCTCTCTCTCTCTCTCTCTCTCTCTCTTATCTATACAAACAGTGTGTTCAATCTATTTCCCAGCCGTTTAAAACCCCGTGGTTAACAATTTCGAAAAAAATATAATCCTAAACATGGAGTTCGTTGATCAAATCGCCTAACCGAAACTGTGTAATTAAAAAAAAAAAAAAAACAGACAAAAACCCGTTGTTTACATTGTCTTCCACCAGTTGAACTGAAAACAAATATCCAGAAAAATAAACTGCGCAAAAAAAAAGCAAAAACCAAAATAAAATAAAATAAAACAAAATAACCAATATACAGTACGACTATTTTTAGATTCAGTAATTTTTGCGTCACTGAAATCTGGCACAATTTCTTAAATAATGCAAGTAAACAGTGAGACTTAGCCGGTGGTTCGTATGTTGTTACCTCTGAGAATTTAAGTGAAAATTACATGTTAATATTGTGTGTAAATTATCCTTCTCTTACATTATTTCTTCCCCCTGATTTCACGCTTGTAAACTATTTGTTTTCTTGTCTTCCAAACATATTTTTCTCTACCATTATTTATTATCTTTTAATTTATGTGTTTATCCATTCTCCTTTCCCCCCTCAAAATTCTCTGCTTTGTGTCCAAATTATATTTCCTTATGTGTAAATAACTTGTGTGTGTGTGTGTGTGTGTGTGTGTAAATTGCCTCTTTTCGTGAGTATACATGATCTCATTTCTTGAGTGTACATTATCTCATTTCCTTAGTGTAAATGATCTCATTTCTTGAGTGTAAATGATCTTGTTTCTTGAGTGTACATAATCTCATTTCTTGAGTGTAAATGTTCTCATTTCTTCCATTCTGTTCCCAGGTGGAAGAAGATCTGAACAACCTGCAAAAGAAGTTCGCCATCTTAGAGAATGACTTCGACAGCGTCAACGAACAGCTGATTGAAGCCAACACCAAACTTGAAGCCTCAGAGAAGAAGAACGCAGAGGTATTGTGTCTGTGTTCGTGTGTGTGCATATGTGCATATGTGCAGTGTCTCTGTGTGCACATGTGTGCGTGTACATAGGTATTGTGTCTGCGTGCGTGTGTGTGCATAGGTGCAATATCTCTGTGTGTGCACATGTGTGCGTGTGAAGAGGTATTGTTTCTGTGTGCGTGTGTGTGCATAGGTGGAATATCTCTGTGTGTGCACATGTGTGCGTGTGAAGAGGTATTGTTTCTGTGTGCGTGTGTGTGTGTGTGGCTGTGCATAGGTGCAATATCTCTGTGTGCACATGTGTGCGTGTGCAGAGGTATCGTGTCTGTGTGGGACAGAGCACAGTCATAAGCAGTGTGAAATTTGGGAGCTGAGATACACAAAATAAAGTGTGTTAATGAGGGTATTGACTATATTATGTGCCATGCCGTACACGCTGATAGTCCTTGTTCGCTTTCTCACACAATCACCAATCTCTGATCAGGCTTGTGTTCTTGTCCCAAGAATGCCATATGACCAGTGAATAAATTTATGTGTCTCTTTGACCTCCATTTTCTCTCTTCTCAACATGTTTGTCAGTAAACCCTAAGTTTGAAATATTTCTTATGTGTTTACATGCATACATGCATACAGAAAAACAGCCAGACAGACAGACACATTTGTAGATAATCATATTGATGTGTGTTTACATTAATCATATGCTGTTCAACACTCGTGGTTATAAATGAGTTGTATTAGTTTACAACTTCTTGGGTTTATCATGCACAAATCCTAGTCCATATTGTCACTGTGTCTTGTGTAAGAGCTGATTCCATTTCAATTTCCATTGAGTCATTTGCACCTATGAGTTATGCCCATATAGTTGATTATATTTATACAGGCACACACACACACACCCTCTCACTTAAAGTATTACGTGGCATGGAAGTTGCGGTGGCGTAGTGGCTAGCACGCTGGCCTGAGGGTCGTGTTCGTAGGTTTGAAACCCCCAACATGGTTAGGGGATTCTTGTTTTTGAACATTGAGCTTAGCTCCCAGATCTAACCAGTCTACAAGTGATACCACAACAACTTCCAGGAATGTAAAGGGGGCGGGTAATATTCGGCACCTCGTCTGCCGAATGTCAGTCTGTGTATCAAAATGTCGCTAGCACCATATATTCTCTACGTCTCATTGGGTTTACACTTATTACACGAAACGTGTTGAAAAGAAAAGGACTGGAAAAGAGGCGATCAAGGAAGGGGTCTGTCGAAAGATAATAGGCACAGAATCAGCAGGCTTGTATTGCAGGTGTGGGCAGATAGGTGTCCAGAAGAGGTTTGTGTTTCATATGTCTGTCCGTTAATGTAAGAGACTGCGCATCATGCACCCACAAACATTAAACTGCCAGTTACTTAGCAACCGTTTGCGTCCCTGTGTAACTGTGTTATCCGGTTTAACGGGAATTTGTTTCTGATTCTCATTTTTTGTGAACCTAATCCTACAAATGGCAATCCTGGGAAGGGAAACTTACACACATACATTTACGCACATACACACACACACACACACAGAGAGAGAGAGAGAGAGAGAGAGAGAGAGAGAGAGAGAGAGAGAGAGAGAGAGAGAGAGAGAGAGAGAGAGAGAGAGAGAGAGAGAGAGAGAGAGAAGGCATATGTATTAAAAGTCACAGATGACAGTCCATTTAATTTGATACTGTGTGAGCGAATGAGAATTCTGCACGCAAAATTGAAAGTATGTTAACGTGAGAGTTCATTCAGTTGTATCCTTGTTACTTAAAGATCTAGTATATTATTGACGTTTATATTATTTTCAAATAGTGATATTATTATCACTTCGTGCTGTTGCTGTTGTAAATAAAGGTGTTTCAAGTTTATGTTCGTGAAAAGTAGTTCCAGTCTACTGCGGTTGAATACGTGGTAAAGCAGATGTGATAAAACAGTTCGAGTTTCAGCCTTGAACTTTATCATGCCTCACCTCATTTCTAGTTCTTCTTCCCTTTACATCTCGAGAGTTCTGGCACACTATCTCCTCCCTACCCCACTTTTTATCTGCTCCTATACGTATGACTAATCTGAACTTGTGTGCATCGCTTTTGCTTCTTGTGTCTGGTCTGGCAGATTTGTTTATATATATATAATGCTATGAATTGCTATATTTAAACCTTGATTGCCGCACAATCGCTGCTTTAATTATTGTTCTGTGTTTGTCAGTCAAGACATAAATGACGTACTGTGTACATATCCATATTTTTATATGTATAAATGTGTGCATTGTTGTTGTTGTTGTTGTTGTTGTTGATCCAGCGGCGCATGAGCTTTCGCCCTCTGGCCCATATATGAGTGTGTATAATGTCGTTATCTGTATTTTAAAAATATCTATGAAAATGCATTGCCTTCGTGCCATATCATTATGTTCACTGGTATATGTTCATTTCTCAGTTTCACTATGAAACTACTTTATATTATAATATATTCATATTGCTATTTATTTATCACTGAATATTTAACTACTGAATCTCAAAGTAAAATGACAATCATTAGATGTATATATAACGTTAAATGGCAGTAGAAATATTTGATATATCGTTTATCTTTGTTTTATGTTATCATGCTGTTATCTGGATGACGCACTATATTATGCGTAATGTTAATCTGTTTATTCATCTAACTACAAAGTTTCGGTCATGTTTTTGTTTTTAATTTGCAACTGAGCATGTGTTAGATAGTGGGGCCTCAAAGGGAGGCAACGTATAGTTACTGTGTAACCTGTCATTCGTGTCGTAAAAGACGACCAATGATGTTTGGTTTAAGACTGACTATCACGTCCCTTTCTAAACACCAGCAAAATGCAACCAGTAATGGTTTGATGGCTAATAACCAATGGCTTGATCTTATTTGGTTGGTGGCAGGCCTGTATTTCATTTGGAGAAGAAAGATAATATACTGTATGTTGGTAATGTGACAGTTGATTATGTTCTCTTTGTTACTTTCTTGTCAATACTTAAGCCGCTGTGATGATCTGGTAGAAAGTTTTGAATGTTTGTTTATATTTAGACTTTAGTCTTGTTCAGAACACGAGTTCTGCCTGTACATCCAATTTACATATGTGGCTTTTTCGTATGCAGACTGTCGGTCCCTTGCTGACAGGTAAATACACTCCGACTTTGAAGGAAACCTAATTAGTCTACAGTTACGACATGCTTGTTGGGGACAGGAGGTGTTACACCCCCCCCCCCCCCCCCCCCCACCCCCGCCGTGAAGCTAGATTGAAATAAGAAGATAGAAAATTACATACTGAAAGATGATTGGTCAGTAGGATATGTTATGTTATCACAATCGACGTCTTTGCACTTTGGGCATCCCCGTGCGTGCTCAGTCCTCCAGTGCAGCAGCCACTCCATGGTACCTCTACTGATTGTTCCCATGAGGTGTTGGTTATAATAGTCTTCACCTCGAAGACGACATAGACGTGCTTCACGAAGCTTAACTCCTTGGTCACGCAGTCGTGTTTAGCGTGTTAGCGTCATTGATTTTTGTGTGCACTAGTAGGTCTGTTGCGTCTCCTTTTTCAGTACTCTAATCTCCTCCTTCTATACCTTGTAGATGCTGCTGCATCGGATCTCAGCATGGACTCACGAACTCCGTAGCTCTGGCGAGGATTGAGTTTATTCGTGCCTACACCTTCTATGTAGTTATGTATTTGCATAACCTGGCCAGGGAGCTTTAAGGCAGTGACAATTGTACTACTGCTACACCTGTGGGTTTCCCCGTGGGGTTCCGGGACCCCATTTTGTGTGCGTGTGTTTGTGTGGGTGTGGCTAGGTGCGGGGGGGGGGGAATAAGCCCACTGCCTCCTAAAAGCATGTCGTAAGAGTCAACTAATTAAGGATTTTTCTTTCAAAGTCAGAGGGCATCAGGCTGAGAGGCGAAGAACCAACAGTCTGAATAAGCCAGCTCTGTAAAACGGGTGTGGGTACAAAACAGATTATGAAACAAGACCATAGTTCAGAAGCGGATGAACAACCGTAACTTTCCGCCTGAGTTTACTGCCGGTGAACTCGAAGAAGAAAAAGAAGACTGGATAAACTTTTAGACGGTTAAATACACAAGTAAAAATAAATATTCCGAGCATTTTATGCATATATTAAATCATGACTGGACGCTGTTTGCTTGTTACCGGCAGGACATTTTCCTCGTATGACAGTCTAAAGAACTTAGTTCTAGATCACAACATATTTATGTGCGATAACCTGTTGCGTTCCTCGGCGTAATTTATTCTCAGTATCACCCGCACAGGAATACGGCGGACTGGCGGACTGATCAAAACTGCCGGTATAAATTGAGAAATGATTATAAATTCATAGTAAGCATTATGTAACTATGGAGATAAATCGTGGACTGCATAGAATCATTTGTCTTTCCTTGGGATGTTTTAACAGCTAAACATTCATTAGTAGTAGTAGTACATTTCACCCCACCAGGACATCACACAAGCGATAAACACCCGATGACACAGAGTGCCACCATGTCGATGAGGTTCACCCGTGGAGAGGTCCCGGAAACCGCGTTCAGCCATTAGACCATATTTATGGCCAGGCTATAATGCGGACCCTGGCAAGAGCCAGAAAAGGGCTTCAAATAACGAAAAATGGCATCCCACAAAGGGATGATAATTATAGATTAAACGTTGATAAAGAAAATGTCACGAATTAAACAAACAGTGTACAAAGCTTGAGTACACTCGAAGTTTTCTAACCTTCTCCGATTTCATTTGTAAAGACAAACATAAGTGACATAAGTGTCGGTTTTGTATACTATCTAACATAACGCTTTCATAAATTGTTTCATGTTAAAACTTTCATAAAAGGTTTAATGTTCAAACTTTCATAAATAGTTTCATGTTCACACAGTACGTCATTTATTCAATCCTGTAAATCCCTGTAAATCTGTTGCCAATGGCTGAGGCCCACCTCATTCATCATTCAGTGTGACCATAAACCGTGTCTAAGTTCTCATTGATGGAAATCGTAAACAAATCATAACGCTCTGCCAAAGCAAAGGTCGCGCGGAAATAAAGAAAACCCACTGTTTGAAATGTTAACAGACCGTATATGTCTTCATTCTTAGTCAGTTAAAAAAGGCCCTTTATATACTAGTGTCGCATCAGGCTACACGGATATTTTTATAGACTAAAGACATGAGACGGCCAAAAGTGGAAATCATAGCTACGATATGGACACCATGTCATCTCCTGTTGTCGTAGTAACCAGCATAGGCCAGGTTTTTAAAGAGTTACATCCAACACTCTCGCTACATGTGAAATAAAATGAGATAGAATGACGAATCAGATATGCTGTGAGTGTAACAGTTTGCACATCATACTATTATGTTTAAAAAAAGTGATTTGCATATCTTATCAAAGAGACATTCAATTTACTTTGTATAGGAGCATTAAGAATACAATATGTGTAGTCAGTGAAAGAGAGGCAGGTAGACATCACGGAAGAAGGATGTTAAGTTTTGCATATCTTATCAAAGAGACATTCCCTTTACTATCTATAAGAGCATTACGCTTACAATCTGAGTAGTTAGTTGGAGAGAGGCAGGGAGAGATCACAGGAAAAGGATGTTAAACAGTCTGGCATATATGTGTGTTTGCTGGAGCCCCATTGTGGGGAAAACAAGAATAGACCCACTGCCTCCCAACAAACCTGTCGACTAATTGAAAGCTTTCATCGAAGTCGAAATTCATCTGCCCGAGCGGCAAGGAACAACTAGCCTTACACACGCACGCACAAATACACAAATTACACACTCACTCACTCACTCACAAAGCCAGTAAAACGGAAGTACACGCAAAACTCAGGTCCTGACAAAAAGTCAAAGTCTAGATGGACGAACAACCAGGACTTTCCGCTAAAGGTGAAAGCCGCTGAATAGAGAAGAAGAAACAGGCTAACATCGTTTTAGAGATAAGCGAATATCATGAGCCAAAAAGCTATGGCAAAATGGCTAACACTCATGGACTGTACAAGTAAGAGAGCATCAACGTTTGTCTTATAACTAAGATGGAAGCTGGAAAACGGGAGTGTCAAATACATACGTAGATGTGTGATCGCTCACGCGCACAACTGTCTGTGTCTGTACTTTTCCATGATAGCTCTAGAAGCGGGCGATAAAATAATCTAAACAGTAAAAGTAGGTCAGGTGGTTTTTCCACAACAAAATCTCGGAAAGATGAGGCAGCTAACACAAGCCAGTGATCCTGGCCAGTTTTGTGAATTTTTTTGTAATGCTGAAGATGGGATAAGGGGTGTGGGGGAAGGTTGGAACCTGAACAGGCACCTCTACCACCCCTCCCCCCGCCCCCCCCCCCACCTTCCTGGACAACGAAGACAAAAAAGAAATAGGGAGGGTATTGGGGGCTGACTTCCCCCGCCCCCCCCCCCCTTATCAACTGGAAAATTTGTACGGGAGCATTTTAGCCCCTTCACCCCTTCCCAATCATGTATAGCTCTCTTTCCAAGGTTGTTTCATATATTTCACATTTTTAAAATATCTAACATTTACTACATTATTACTATGAAGCACTTAAACACAGCTTAAGCCTATTAACCCCCCCCCCCCCCCCCCCCCCGTTTTCCCCACTGGCCTTTCACTCTGCTATAATTTTTTTTTTTTGGGTCGGTCTTGGCGAAGGATTTTTTGTTTGTTTTGTTTTTCTGTTTAAAATGTGCTTCATTCACAAGAATGTCTTTGCACTGGAAGCCACATGGTCAATATGGGAGAACGATAAAAGGAATGAGAGATTTCGGTGAACAAGATGAGGAAAGGACATGGCTAGAGAACAAGTTGGGACGACTTGGGGTTGGTCTGAGGGTCAATGCTCCATTGAGGTATGAAGGGCACGAGAAGAATAAGAAACATATTCCGTAAAGCGGCCACCACTTTCAGTTGTTCTCTATTTATTTGTAAGACGGGTAATCTAGCTGGTGGTTATAATCTGATGTCTCCTACAGTTCTCGTTGCGTGTGTAACCATCTGTAAATGTTCTTTTAAGTTCTCTAAATTAAAAGTTTTTTTTTTTAAACAAATTTAGTTCGGCGGTAAAGAACAGAGAACAAGTTTTTTTTTCTTTCTAAAAGAGTGGGGGGGGGGGCTATAGGCCCTATACCTTGCCAGGGTGGGGAAAGAAACGAAGGCATTATCCTTTAATCTATAACGAAGATGGGGGAAACGAAGAGATAGATAATCCTTTAATCTATAGAACACAGCTCAGGTTTGTGTGCTGGGAGCAAAAACCCTGTGTACAATATTGACTCACGGAGCATGCTATTTTTGACCGCCAACGGTCAGGCAGTCAGTTAGTCGTTAAAAGATTTAGTAAACCGACAATGAATTTGCTACTGAATCCTGTTTAAATATTATATTTGTTCTAGCGTGAGGTCTTTCCAGCAATCTCGATTTTATGTGCACATGATGCCACCATCAGCTCATTTATATTTTATGTAAAAAGAAAACTATATTAGTATAATTTAATGTTCGCCTGATCAAGGGGCGTGTCTCATGTAATGTTATGGCGGACTACTTTCTTTCACACTAGTCACCTACATTTTTTTAGAATTTGGCCAGTACTGAAAGTATAAGGCAGACAGTCAAGTCTGAGGTTAATAAATCGACATCCCGGTAGTAGAAATTCTTAGGTTATATGTCATTTCATTCTTACCTCGCCATTCTCTCCACGAAAGAACGGAGAGAAAGAGCACATGCCGGGCGGGGATGCTGGAACTGTCGGTGACGTCATCAGACCATATTTGGAAAGCCGCGTGAAGAATCCGCGCTGGCCCGGCTGTGCCTCCCAGTCGACGGCCTCCCTCTGCGCCGTTACTAAATTTATCTCCAGATTGTTGTGGTTGTGATCTCCCTTTCTCGGAGTTAGAAACTTTTACACGTGGAGAAAAGTTTGTTAACTTTAAAAGGTTACGTTGTGAGTTTGTTAACTGTGCGTGGTTTATTATTGTGGTGAATTATAGAACAGGTAGTGTTTTGTGTTAGCTTTGCTATGGGAGATCGTGAATTCTTGGAATCAAACGATGGCGACAGTGTTCACTTGTCGCAGGATTCACAGTTATCAGTTGCAAGTATGTCACAAGACTTATCCCAGGGGTCTGTGGATGCAGACACAACTGTTGCATGTTCTAAACATAGGAGATCGGAAAAGAAGAAAAAGAAAAGGCCTAAAGGTGAAAAATCTTCCAAATCGAGGGATAATGACAAATGTGAAAGAGACAGAAGTGAAACTCCAGACTGTGATAACTCCAATAGCGCAATTAAACATTCTCGGAAAAGTTCGAAAAGTTCCAGTAAATGTGAAAACGGTGAAAAAAGTGAGAAGAAGGTTAAGAGACATTCTAGCAGAAGACCAGAACCAGAAGGCGGGAATCCCTCACACGCGGAAACCAGCAGTATATTAGAGTTCGAGCGAATTATAAACAACACAGATCCGTTGTTTTCGGACCTTGAGATTGATCTGGCCGGAGATGAAGACTCCCTCAAACCAAGGCGGACGCCGCGACAAACTAGAAGCGGCCCCGCCGGTGGTATTTTCATTCCATGTACACAACTGGGCATTAACTCTAATACAATGATAAAATTTGCCATCATCGGAACAGAACTTCAAAACATTTTCCAAGTTTCTCAAAGGGTGCGTATGCAATTATTCATCTGCTTTGTAACATCTCTAAATTACCTTTTTGTGTGAACCTACTGTTTTTTAAAAATCTCGCTGAATAAAATTACTCTTTCTCTTCCTTGAATTTTATAATTCACATATTACGAACCACACCCCTCATAATTTCCAGGACAATAGCTGTAACTTTGCACCCTGTTTAACATTGTCTCTACCGCCCTTGCCCAAAAAACACAACCCCGTTAATGTGTAGCTAAAGGTCATAGTGCGTTGTATGCCAAATGGGAGTTACACGCTTATGCCTTTTCTTTCCCACTCACTCACTCGCTTGCCACACGGAACCTACGTCGCTCACCTCCCGTTCCCCTTCTTTTCCAGCTTCAAACAGGCAACAACTGTTCTCCACGCCAGTTCCTGTAATTTCACCCCATTCCAGCCCGCCTCCTCTGACATGTTTCCCTGCCAGATTGCACTGTTGTGCAGCTTATCTTGGCACTTGCAGCCATTCCCCGCGCCAGGTGATCTTTGCCAACAACTTACTCACCTTCTCTGTTGACCTCAGTGCGCTCCCGTCCCCACTTGTTTGTTTGTAGCGAGAATACACGAAGTTTGCTATGAAGTCCCAAACTTATCAGAGGTCATACTCTGCGTCCCCCTCACCCACTCCTCTTCCATCTCTTCTCTTCATCAATGTGCCCATTAAGCACATCTGCCTAACAGCATCCCGTATATCTATCTACAAGCGTTATCATCGGGTGCTACGTTGGGTTATAGAAGAGGTAACCCCCCCCCCCCCCCCCACCCCTCTCTGGCCTCTTTTCGCGGATCCGTAACTCTAAACTGTTGTTGTTATTTTTGCTGCCCATGTTTTTCAACATTGTGGTGTATTCTCGGGCAGGCTTGCATTAGCCAGCTTTAATGGCTGAGCTGGGTTATGGGTGCTGCATTTCGCCACGCTGTAACACAATAAGTGTCCGACTTTTAAATACAGTACAGTACGACAAACATATTCAGCAGAACCGCTTCTTATTTCTCTCTTATACTTTCTTTGTTGCTTGAGAAGTCCTTCCCTCGCCTCTCTCTTCTCTCTCTCTCTCTCTCTCTCTCTCTCTCTCTCTCTCTCTCTCTCTCTCTCTCGCTCTCTCTCTTTCAATCTGTGTGTGTGTGTGTGTGTGTATGTATAAAGTACACTACAATGCAGGCAGGCTGAATAAACAAGAGTGAAAGTATAAGAGTGAATTCGTGCAGTGGTTGGCACAGCTGACTTTAACAAAGGGAAAACAAACAAGAGCTACAGGGTGTCAAAGAATGAATTCATGCAGTTTATTTGGCATGGCTATCTATAGCAAGCCCGGTGCAGACTGCAGATTAGTCGTAACCGTTGAGCGCCTCAATAACCTGGTAAACTTAGTTTCAGCTTCATAGCAAACGGGTCATCCCATAGTTGCTCCGCTCCGCTTCTGTGCCAACGGAAAACACAGAATGTTTATCACAGCCCTTGTGGAAAGAGTGACAGACTGCTGTCTCAGCATATGCACTAGTATACACACGCATTAAAACCATAAATCACTCCATCTTTTCCGAGGTCTTCCGTTCGCCCTATACCCGTTGTAACGTTTTAGTGTGGCTCGCTGTGGCAGGTAGTACCGGGCGTTCTTGTTAGGTGTCCAAACCACTTCATTTTGTGTTCTTTGATGACCTGTAAGACCTGACAGTCGCCAGCCCAAAAGCTTGTCTTAGCTAAACCAGTATCTTCTCCATACACGATCTGAGGGAGGCATTGACCAAACTAAGGCCTTCTATACGGGACTGGCCAAGGCACACTTCCGCTCAGCTAGGCGAACACATAATGTGATTTTTCGGACAACTGAAGAGTGGAACTTTGGTTTTTACCTGTACAGTGACATTGTATAGGGAGAGGGAAAGGGTTGGGCAAAGAAAGAACTACACACATGTGGGTGGGTGAACAGACGCACAGACAGACAGACAGGTGGATGAACAGACGCACAGACAGACAGATGGATGAACAGACACACAGGCAGACAGGTGGGTGAACAGACACACAGACAGATGGATGAACAGACACACAGGTGGATAGACACATATGACAAAAAATTGAATGTTTATATGTGTATATATGAAAACAAGATTGGAGATTTGATACAAACTGATTGTTTGCATTTAGTTGTTGCACTTGTAATGTATACTCGTGACGGCTGGAGACTCACTAAAGACATGAAACGAAGGTTAAATACACTGAAAAACAAATGTCTTAAAGAGAATGATGAAAATAAAATGGAATTAATTTTAAAGGAGTGAAAAAATAAGATAAATGACTGGGCAACCACTGGTAACAACATTTATAAGACACAGATAATGGCGCTATATTGGATACATCATGAGAAGAAAGCAGTAGAGATTCGGCAAACAGGCATTAAAATGGGAAATAAAGCGATTAGGAGGCTAGGTTAGGTTAGTTGCCTATCCTTTACTGAACGTCGCAAAATCAACCCAAACAGCCCCTGGCTGTTGTGTGATTTTTCTAAGCAAATTTACGTCTAGTAGTTTGCCATTGCTCCCTGAACGGTCGGCTTTCTTGATAACACTGTTGAAACCAACGAATGGAACATGGTCCGCAGCTGGGATCAAACCTGGCATTACGAAAAGTTTGCATGGACTTAGCCACAGAGCCGACCAGGAGGCTAGGACGCCCAAGGAAACCCCAAGACAAACGTTGTTGAGAGAGATGAAAGCTGCTAGACTTGATTCCATCGAATTGATTGCACAGAATAGAGTAAGTAAGTAAGTAAATTTTACCTGACCAGGACATCACACAGAGCGATAAACATCCGGTGACACAAAGTGCCACCATGCAGATAAGGATGACCCATGGAAAGGTCCAGGAAACCGCGTTAAGCCATAAGGCTATAATTGCGGCCCTTGGCAAGAGCCAGAGTGTGTCTTCAAAATAAAGAAAAATTGCATCCCTAAAGTGGGATAACGAAGATAATATCTGCACAGGATAGAGCGGAATGGAGGAATAAATAGACTGCAAGCTCTATGTGGCATATAATGGCACAACCGGGTAATGAATGATTGCATGCATGAAACTAGACTGTGGGTACCTATATTTTTGTTTTTTGAAAGCTTTTCCTGGATTTATCCCTTTCTCGTTTAGTAACCTTACATCAAGCAGTTATTGATTCATTAACAACTTTAGTTATTACATTCCCTGTTTGACTGTCTCCACTCTTCCATATGTCTCGCTATGTCTGTGGGGGAGGACATCGGTCGCCAGAACAGCCAGGTATAATGGGACCAGACGACATTTTGTCACGTGACCCAGGCTAACATTTGTCGCATATGAAATGGGCGTACAGATACACGGAGATAAGCCGGAATAAAATAACTGCCTAATTAGGCTTGTAGTTCTGCTACAGTCTTCAGTGTAACACAGAATACGTATTCTGTTTGTGATTTAAAGGAAAACTGATATACCGCACTGACAAATTTGGAATTTGATAGTATATTTCTCGTCTCGGACGTGGTGTGCTGTGCGGCTGAGGGAAGCCGGTCTACCACAATCTCATTAGGATATGGAGAAAATGGCTTCTACAAGGCAATCCTCCACTACGGGTGCTATCACCCAGCTAAAGCAGAAGATGGCCAGTCTTAAAGCTGAAAACGATGACCTTAAAGCAGCGTTTGAAGAAATGAAGCGCGAATGTTCTCGCAAGGACGAGCAACGATCTCAGGTGAGGTAGGCAATTAATTGCAGTGTTGCTAGTCACCGAGTCAGAGGAGGCTGTCTGCTTCTCAAAGTGACTTACGCTTACGTTCAGTCAGTGTAGAAGTGTTTTATCGACTGTAGCTTGTTTATGATAACATCAACTTCATCAAGGCTACGATTGTCTCAAAGGCTATAATGATTACCCAGACTTGAAGCGTTAAGGAAATCCCCCAAGTATACTAGCTGGCGTCATGTTGAATCTTCCCAATTTGTGTGTTCATTTCATGATTTTGATGCTTATTGAATTGAAGGATATGAGCTGATGTATCGTGTGCGTATTCATAAATATATATGTCACAAATATATCATTTGTATATTATGAATACACCTGTTTTACTGCGATTTAAGTTTTATCTGCTACATATTTGCGCATTTTTAACATTTAGCTGGTAATAATAATAATATACAGACAAGAAACTTGATTATGTTAAGTAGAACCCTATTGAACAAAATCGATTATTTATAATTTATAGGAAATCAATCAATAAATCAGTATAGTGTATAGTTAACGAAAGGGCATCCTCTTTTCATCCAGGAGATGGATTTTGATTTATGTTTCTGATGTCATATTGATTGAAAACTGGATCATAGTGCTGTTGTATAAGTTTATGGCCAGACAGGCAGTATCATTAGTAAAACAGTGTAGCACTTAGAAGAATAGTCATAAGTCAGTCACTGTCTGCTGTGCATCCTTAACTTGAGCCCAGTTTTATAGTGTTGTTTGTAAATGAGAAACTGCAAGGGGTGGGTTGGGCTGCCTAACAACAAGCATGTCATGCAACGACTAAATACGGGGGTTGCCTTCACAGCCCAAGTGCATCTGACTGGAACCAACAGTATGCACACAAATACGCCAGGTATGTGAAACGGGTGTGACCGATTTGCATGCAGAACTTAAGTTCTGGAACAAGACTCAGTTGAAGACGTGGACGAAAAGCCAGAACTTTCGGCTCGGAGTTTACAGCTGGTGAACGAGAAAAAGAAGAACTGAAATAATATTTAATATTTCTCCCTTGCCCTCCTGTTTATTTTCCTGTTTGCGTAATTTAATAATTATCATTATTGAAGTGTAAATATTTTTATTAAGTTCCTCTGGGTTCATTTGCATAATTTAGTTATTTCAGTATTGGACTAGATAATGTGCTTTTTTTTTTTTTTTTTTTAACCTATCCAGAAGCCATGAGTTGTAAACCCTTTGGCTCGGTACTATGGATATCGCAACCCTTCGGCATTGATTTCATTATAGGTACCGTTAATCTGGGAGAAATGTGGCTTTTCTGCCTACCCCCCGGGAGTGAACCCGGACCACAAGGAGTTCATCACCCGGCCGCCGCTAGATAGCCGGGCAGATAATGTGCTTCAGTAATCACTTGTTCTGTGATTATTCTGGCAAAAATAATGAAGAGAGTTATTTAATAGTGGCCTGAGCTCTTCACAAGCCCTCTATACTTCTCCTTCAGCAGGGTATTTGTGGCGAAGTGGTCAAGCCATTTGCCTCACGCTCTGAAGGTCATGATTTCCTTTCACAGCTGCGCCCTTCAGTTCATGGGTGTACTTTTTACAAAGATCCCCAGGATCGTTGCCAGAGCTATGGAATTTGTGCTCTGTGCTGCACTCTCAGCAGGCGGCTAGCCATTCTGCGTAGAGAGACCAAGCCTTATAGGATAAAACCCGGTGCAATGAAGTCCACCCTCTCAACTTTAACCTCTAACTTTTATTCTGAGCCTTTGAGTTTCACTGCTGCGTGTGTTCCCCCATGTGGGTTCCGGGGCCCCATTGTGGGGAAAACAAGAATAGAACCACTGCCTCCCCAAAAGCATGTCGTAAGAGTCGACTAATTGGGGAGCTTCCTTTGAAGTCGGAATGCATCTGGCGGAGAGGCAAAGAACCAACAGTCTGTATTCAAGAGAATGAGATCTGTAAAACTGATGCACACGCAACACTCAGGTTCTGGAGCAGGACTGCAGTTCAGTAGTGGACGAGCAACCAGAACCTTCCGCCAGAGTTTACAGCTGGTGAATGCGAAGAAGAAGAAGAACTTCTGCGTGTATTACCCACAACTACGTAGATTAATTATTAACACTTTCAATATTTCTTTGTGTGACTTATTCTGTATGAAGTTTTGTGTGATCTTAGTTCTGTTAAAAACAGAATTTTATATGGAGTGTGGACATTTTATGTTATCTCCATAAATATTTGTTTGTTGAAGTGACGGATACAAAATGATTATTAGGCCATTTAATGTTGACAGTCACCCTGTTTTGTTTCATGGACTCTAAAAAAATATTTTTAAACTGTTTATTATTATTAGATTATTTATGCAAAAAATTGTGATGTAAAAATGTTCCTTTCACCATTTTGTTAAATTAGTATCTCTTTTTCACTATTCAGTGCTGTTGCTCATGTACTAATTGCTGTTTATTGTCCAGTTATGTGGCTCAGTTATTATAAGTTAACTATACGTCTCATAAATTATGTGTTATAATTTTTACATTTGATTGAGCTATTCATCATTATCTTCCACTTTTGCGGTCAAGCAAAGTATTGCAGTGACTGTCATGTATGACTTACAGTCTGTACGCAATATTAGTTTAGGTTTGTATGCTTGAATGAGAGGAAAGTAGGTTTGTATGCTTGAATGAGAGGAAAGGAAGGGTGAAGGACTGATTGCATGTGTAATTATCTTGTAATTGCAGTTAAGCCAGTCTCTTCCCATGTTTTTGTTTGTTTGTGTGGAGACCCACTGCCCTTTTCCCCAACAAGCATACGATTAGAAAAAGTGAATGTTTGTTAAAAATAGATGTTTTTTCTGAAAAGTGTTGTCATAGCCTAGCTGTAAACCGCAACACAATGTGCCAGTCGCCATTTTAAAGGCAAATGCAGACGAAGAAAAAGAAACTAGTCTCAGCATGACACTATTCTCACACATCCCTCTCACAGATATTCTCACACATCCCTCTCACAGATATTCTCACACATCCCTCTCAGAGATATTCTCACACATCCCTCTCACAGTTATTCTCACACATCCCTCTCACAGTTATTCTCACACATCCCTCTCACAGATATTCTCACACATCCCTCTCACAGATATTCTCACACATCCCTCTCACAGATATTCTCACACATCCCTCTCACAGATATTCTCACACACCCCTCTCACAGACAGCCAGCCAGTAGAACAATTAGATACTTTACCCTGTCTAACATTTATGATGCTGAGTGTTGTCAGCTGTGCTGTGACCTTGAGATGTGTGCACCACTTTGCTTGCGGTTGGTGTCACACATTTGTCCCATCTGATATGGGTTAACTGTTGCCAAAGGTGCAAGAGATAGCCAGGTATTGAGTAAACATAGTAAATAGTTCAGGACGAATAATGCTGCTTGATAAGCAGGTGGCATTTCTGGACTGCAAAACACTCCCTATGTATTTTATTTTCACTTTGCTGTAATGGCCCATATTTTCCAGCACCAAGCCATAAATTATATGGCATCTAGGTAGAAATTGGGTTGGTACCCGGTTGATTTCTCTAGTGAAATCTACTCACTAAACAAAGAACCCTTCCCATGCTATCAGACATACTGGTATTGTACAGCTGGCCCCATAATTTGATCCATCAACTGGCACTTGATGGATGGTGTAATCATAATCCTGACCATCTTTACTTTCTATGAAATTTCCAGGTACCTGAAACAGCTACCCAACATAACATAGAGGAATTGTTACCTCTGCTTCCAAGGGTAGAATTGTTACCCCTACACTTCAAGTTAGAATAGATTACATTCTGGGTAGAATAAATAATTACCTCTTCATCCAGTGGTAGTATTATTACCTGTGAACTCTAGTACATAAAGTTACCTTGAGCTCAGAGGAGTAATTTCCCCAACACTCCAGGGTGGAACCTGCAGGGTCTCCTTGATGCAAGTCAAACTGGTTGTTAGTAGAATTTATGTTGTTCCACAATTGTTTCCTTCAAAAGGATTGTAAAATTGTTACATAATACACAAAATTCAGTCTGTGCACATACTTGTAACAAAATTACAACCTGAAGTTATATAATGTAAACATAGAAATGAAATATTTTGCAACTATGCAGTTTTACTAATAAAATAAGTGTGTGTATGTGTGTGGACATTCTGTGTATCGTGTCACAGTGAGTTATTTGTGCTCTGGTGACTCATTTGTTAGCTTAGACACTTAGCGACTTGTAGCCCAATCTGGCAACACTGGCACCATATGGTGGGAGGTCTGCGGTTCCAGACAGTCTGCCACACGGGGTAGGGTCAAACAGACTCTGAAGTCTAGACACTGCCTCACTCTAGGCATCAGTTCCTGGAACTTGTTGACCCTACCAATGACCACTGTAGTTATCGCTCTTTATTTACTATTTTTTAATTAATTAATTTTTGTGTGGATGGAAATGCGTATGGGTGGTAGTCGCATAGGTCATAAGTCAAGCAGAAGGTGCTTGGTCCTCTTTCAGCCATCTGTTGTTGTACATCATCTCCGCCATGTCTCATCACTTCATCTTGCTGAGTTTCCAGTATATAGAACATTTTACATCTTGTCTCAGATGTTCTAACCAAAAAAAAAACCAAAAAAGCACAGATTCTATACAGTTGGTTGTAACTTGTTGTGCAAATATTGCAGATTGAAAGTGAGACTGCAGGTCTGCAGAGACGTATCCAGTTGCTGGAGGAGGACTTGGAGAGGTCAGAAGAGCGTCTCCAGAGTGCCACAGAAAAGTTGGAAGAGGCATCTAAAGCAGCTGATGAAAGTGAAAGGTGGGAAATATTCCCCATTTTGTTGTTGTCCTTGACTTGAAGTTATGAATCCCCAATTGTATATTTGGACCCTTCCATCTTATTCCATGTCTATGTGCCTCATTTCTTTATATACATCCACACATGTGCACAGAAAGAGAGAGAGAGAGAGAAAAGAAAGATTTGTATCATATAGTTAGGTTTATTCTGCCTTTTTAGTTTTAGTAGCCGTGTGAGTGTAGTGCCCCAGCCTGTCCTCATTTACATTTGAGACAATCTCCAGACTCAACATGTCCGTCATGAGGATCAGCACTAGTTCTGCTCACAAGAAATCAAGGTTGAAAATAAATCCTGGAGTACAGAGGAGGATCTCCAACATGATACAATTTTATCTAGAAAACAAAAATATAAAAATTAAGAGTTACACTGTAGAATATTTAGAAAGAATGTCTAATGGTCTTCATTTGATCATTAAGTGATGACTTATCGTGTAGAGAAGTTGAAATGTTCATATTAGAGGATTTTCCAGATGTGCAAGTCATAAAAGTCTTCTTCTTCTTCATCTTCATCTTCATCTTCTTCTTCTTCTTCATCTTCTTCACGTTCACTGGCTGTGAACTCCGGCGGAAAGTTCTGGTTGTTCGTCCACTTCTGAACTGCAGTCCTGTTCCAGAACCTGAGTGTTGTGTGTGAATCCATTTGACAGATCTGTATGCAGACTGTTGGTTCCTTGCCTCTCGGGCAGATGCACTCCGACTTCGAAGGAAGACTCTTGCGACATGCTTTTGGGTAGGCAGTGGGTCTATTCTTGTTTTTCCCCATAGTAGGGCCCCGGAACCCACACAGGGGGTCATACAAGTTACTGCTAGAATATAATGATCAAAGAATAAACACTGAGAGGTACGAACGAACAAACAATCTTTATTTTCAAAGGGTTACAAATTGGGCACGCAGGCCTGCCTGACATTCGGATATAGATAGCAGCATACTGGAAGCTTGCTTTGATTGTTGTTGAGTCTACTCCAGTTGCAGACAAATGTTGAGTCTACTCCAGTTGCAGACAAATGTTGAGTCTACCAGTTGCAGACAAATGTTGAGTCTACCAGTTGCAGACAAATGTTGAGTCTACTCCAGTTGCAGACAAATGTTGAGTCTACTCCAGTTGCAGACAAATGTTGAGTCTACTCCAGTTGCAGACAAATGTTGAGTCTACTCCAGTTGCAGACAAATGTTGAGTCTACTCCAGTTGCAGACAAATGTTGAGTCTACTCCAGTTGCAGACAAATGTTGAGTCTACTCCAGTTGCAGACAAATGTTGAGTCTACTCCAGTTGCAGACAAATGTTGAGTCTACCAGTTGCAGACAAATGTTGAGTTCCAGTTGCAGACAAATGTTGAGTCTACCAGTTGCAGACAAATGTTGAGTCTACCAGTTGCAGACAAATGTTGAGTCTACCAGTTGCAGACAAATGTTGAGTCTACTCCAGTTGCAGACAAATGTTGAGTCTACCAGTTGCAGACAAATGTTGAGTCTACCAGTTGCAGACAAATGTTGAGTCTACTCCAGTTGCAGACAAATGTTGAGTCTACTCCAGTTGCAGACAAATGTTGAGTCTACTCCAGTTGCAGACAAATGTTGAGTCTACTCCAGTTGCAGACAAATGTTGAGTCTACTCCAGTTGCAGACAAATGTTGAGTCTACTCCAGTTGCAGACAAATGTTGAGTCTACTCCAGTTGCAGACAAATGTTGAGTCTACTCCAGTTGCAGACAAATGTTGAGTCTACTCCAGTTGCAGACAAATGTTGAGTCTACCAGTTGCAGACAAATGTTGAGTCTACTCCGTTGCAGACAAATGGGACCTAATTTTGTGACTGAAGTCAAAACTGTTTGTCTGTTTTTGTTCTTTGCAGTTAAAAATAAAAGCTTCCCCTTTTTTTTTTTCAGTAAATAAATAAATCTTTCAAAACAGATCAAAACTGCCTCAACCATGCATGGTTACTTTGTGTGCATTCAATTCGATCCTTTAATGTGGTGCTGCAGACTGAATATCACTGGTTAATTTTAAATAGAAAGATTTTGTAAAATTGTTAATTTCCTCGTCCATTCTTATAAAAATGGCACATTTTACATTTAAATGTCATTGTCCTTTTATGCCGTGCCAGGTGACATGTAATATCTTACTAAATGCTCTATGTTGTTCGGAATAAATTCAGCTATTCTTCATGCCACCATCTTAGCCTCAGTTCTCATTAGCTGCCTTCTCTGTCCCTTAATTCTACATTCATTGCAGTGTTCTCAAGCTTGTTTTATCTCAGCTTGTGACCAGTAACAGTCTTTTTTCTGATAGTTGCATATGTTATGTTACATTCCTTAGCCTTTCTGGCAATTAATTATTCTGGCAGTTCAGGATGCCTGTAACAATTATCTCAGAGCTGTTTCCCCATGCTCTCCCTGGTTTGTCTATTCTTATTCAACAGCGTACATCAGAACAGGTCCAGCATAAGGTTTCAGGACTCTCTTTCTTACATTCTTACACATAACTCACTGTGTAAATTACTTGCATCATCTGAAATGCAGCTTTTCCTTGGGCCATATTGCCACAGTCTTGGTCACACTTGTTTCCCCTGAATTAATAATTGCCTTTTGAATATCAGTTTTTTAAATTAATTTTTTATGTCATAGCTTATAGTAATTTGTCTGTTACCCTGGAGTGCAGTTTGTGTGTGTGTGTGTGTGTGTGTTTATGACATGTTCACATATGATAGCAAACTAGACCTAGTGAGACATTTCACAAGAGATTTCCGATTTCTTTATCATATTTATACAGCATATTACTCTAGTGACTTGCATCTGCCAGCGAAGGTTAAGCCCTCAACTCAGCCAGCTGATGCCAGGCTCTGTAGTTTTGTTTATGGCTGGCTAGATTTGTAAGCTCCAGTTTTTATTTAGCTGGACGGAAGTGGTCATTCTCCTGCTGACCCTCCTTGATTGCTCCTTAATGACACATATGGCAGGTTACACTGTTCCTATTCTTTGCTTCATTAATGGGCGTCAAGCACACAAGGGCGGATATATCAATATGTGACCAGCCCATATTTGACGTAAAACACTATTTTTTCCACTGCACATCAGGCATATTTGTGTAAACCAAATGGCATTGGGTGAGTGATGTGGTTCTTCCCAGGATTTTACCTGGGAATCTTTTAGGCTGGCCAGCTTGGTGGAGCATAGTGACGTGATTTTGAGGTTTATTATGATATCATAGTTTTTAACAGTGGTTTTTTTTTTCCAGCCTAAATAATATCTGACAATTTTGTGTGTAGGTATATATAGTTATACCCACCACGTCTGCACACTATGCAGTTTAAGCCAGTACCAAAGCTGTTATAATGGCCTAGTTGCCACTGCCCAAAGAATATGTCATCAAACTACCTTAAAAGTCACAAAAACGACTTTCTCAGAAAGACAGGGTTAAATCAACATGTGGATATCTGTGAGTAAAATGGGATGTAGTGTTTGATATTTTTGTGCGTGTTTTTGTTTCTGCATGCTTTGTTTCATGGGCACAGGCATCGGCGAATTTTAGAAAACAAATTATCATCCTACGAAGAGAGAATTGAAGATGCAGAAACACTTCTTAGGCAGGCTAGGCAAGTAGCTAGTGAGGCTGAAGCTCGTTACGATGAGGTAGGTTGCACATTACACCAGCATTTCCTTCAGTAAAAGACAACATACATCTGGCTTATATTGAACTACATATAGTAAAGTATATGTATTTTTTGGCCTTCATAGTACGTATACTTTTACAAATCACATCCATTTGTAGTGATGAATTGGTGGAGGGTTGAGACACATTTTGTAGTTCCTTCACTGACAGAATCCAGATGTATGTTGTTTGCAGAATTAATGATTTCTTTCTTGCAGGTATTTCCAGATGTGTTAAGAAAGACCCTATGATCCAGCACAAACAAGACTTGGTTTCTATAGTTGTTTTCTGTGTTTAATCATTTAATGCTGTTCTTTTCCCTGCTGAAATTGTAGAGGTCGCAAGGTGCTGGAGAGCAGAAGCTTGGCTGATGATGAGCGATTGGATGGCCTTGAAGCTCAGTTGAAAGAAGCTAAATACATCGCTGAGGATGCTGAGCGCAAGTTCGATGAGGTGACTGGCTTGCCATTGTTGTCAATGGCTGGCTTAGAGCATGATTTCAACCGCTGAACTACTACCACCACCAACTGGCTGGAAATGTTGTATACAATTTCTCAGTGGAACTGTCTTCAATAACCAGCACTTTAATAACATGTTGACTTGTTTGTCTGGAGCTGCTAATGACTGTCTTGTCTCCGCAGATGCTTACATGTAGCAGTTTTCCCCTGTCTAATGCGCTGTTAACTTGCATTGCATCTAAGCTAACGCACGTCACATTAATTATCTCTGTCATTTTCTCGTCCCAGGCAATCCTGCATTAATTTTTAGTTTTCTTCCCCTACACCTTTTGTATTTCTGAGTGTTTTCAGTACTGGTATGCAGGTTGAAAGTGCCAGAGTCTGTTTTCAGTACTGGTATGCAGGTTGAAAGTGCCAGAGTCTGATTGTTTTTCTTTGAAAGATGGTGTCGCAGTACTTTCTGGTACATTGTCAAGCGTTCATCTTCTCTGCAGCAGGTGCCAATGTGCTGGCGCTGTTGTTTTATGCTGATGCCTTTGCTGACTTGATTGTTTCGTTGTCCAGAGCCAGGAAAGTTCTGGAGATCAGGAGCCAGGCAGAAGATGAGAGGATTGATGCTTTAGAGAAGCAGCTGGAGGAAGCCAAGTGGATCGCAGAAGACACTGACAGAAAATACGATGAGGTGACGGCTCGGATGCAACTGGCCTGTCCTCAGTATTTGTTAACTGTCTTGATACATCCTTAGGACATATTTACTGTACTCCATACGCAAGTTAGGAAAAGAGAGAGTTCCTTCCCTTCCCATAAACTGAGGATTAGTCAGTTATATGTTGCAAGAAAATAGCCGTTGTTTGGTGTTCTTGACTGCATTACCAGCCAGCTCACTGGCTGGATTAGCTTACCGGTGTAGTGTGTGAAACTGATGGTATGTGTTTGCTTGCTTGGTTGTTCGTAGTTCACTTGTTGGATGATTTCACTAGAAACTGGTTGTCTTAGAAGTTAGCTCTTCATTTATCAACACAATCTGTAGAAAGGTCAGATTGAGGCCCTGTTTCCTAAGCCTAAAGCATGTTGTGTATACTGGGCTAGCCTCTGAAGTTTAGAGACCGGTCAGCACTCTTAGTGGGAGATTTAGTAAGTATCCAGCATGGGCCAGTTTTAAAGTGGTTTGGTTTTCTCCATGTTCACAGGCTGTAAATGCTAGTTGAAAGTTCTGGTTGTTCATCCACTTCTGGGCTTTGGTCTTGGTGCAGAACTTTATTTTTGCATGCAGACCCTTGATTTCTTGCTTCTGGGGCTAATGCACTCACGCCTTTTATGACATTCTTGTTAAAAGGCAGTAGGTCTATTCTTGGGGCCCCTAGAACGAACACGGGGAGGTGAGGTCTTGGACACAGGGATACCACTCTGGCAGGCATGAGTGTTAGCTATGACACTTTCATAACTTCCAACTCACGGTTGCTTGTTAGCTGAGTATTCTTTACAGGATGTTGCAGAAACCAACCCCAGCCTTTGTTGGCTGTTTGGTTTTCCAGGCAGTTTTACGTTCATAAATTGCCATTGCATTCTGAATCGTCAGCGCTCAACACCGCTGTCAAAATCAGTGCAAAGCAGTCTGCTGCCGAATTAGCCTCAGGTACTTTGGAATTGTGAAGCAGGTTTGCACTCATCAAGTACAGGCGTACTCACTGTGTGTATGTTTCTTGCTATAGTGTCTTGTGAGTTGTCTTTTCACTGAAATTTCTCAGTTCCACGTATTTTCTTTATTCTGTTGGATTGGTTGATTCATGCTGACCTTAGTTCGTGTGACTAGTTGTAGAATTGCTTGTACTTATTATGCTTGTCAATTGGTAGTGTGTTGTTTCTAACATTTATGCACCTCCCATTACACATTAACATCAGTGTTTTATTGCAGGAGGTTGCAGATTTTGAGATGTGCTGTATTATTGAACTCACTTTATTGTGTTCATAACTACTTAATAAAACATGCATCACAGAAAAATCCCATTATAGAGTGCTTTGAACCAGTGGGAGAAATAATTGCTCTGACAGAGAATTATATTTCTATATCGACATTTACTTCCTGTTGTCAGCTAATCTGGATAAACTACCTTCTTTATAAATTTAAAAAAAAAAAGCCTATCTTAACTGCCTGTACCTTTTTATTTGTTATTTATTTATTTTGGGGTCGTATAGGAGAGTGGGGGTGTTGGGCCTAAAGATTTAGGGCTTCATAGTTGGTGTAGTCTGCCTCCTGTATGTCACTGTGGCTGCAAGATTTAACTCCCTTTACACCCTAGAGGAGTGGTTTCCCATTAGCTAAAACCTATTGGTCGTGTCTTTTTTTTTTCAAGGTTTGCCACTGACCCCAAACATTTTAATGATCATACGCAACTCATGATTTTTTTAAGTTGGAATCATGGATAGGATAGCATTCTAAAGTTGACGGTGTTTGTGTCTCAGTGGCCACTTAGATTTGTTCCCCATTGATCATCAGACAGGAACTACTTCCCTATATCACATGATACATGACATAGTCAGATATTCAGTGACTACCACAAAGTGATACTTGGTTGTTACCAGGACACCTGAAAGAGCAATTGAGCAAACATTGTTAATGCCCTTCGAGGGTTAGGATGATCGGAGTATTTGTGATAGCAATTTGAGATTACTGCTGAGAATTGGGAGATCCAGGCATGAGAGGCACACCCGACATACAAGAAATCTTGTTGATAAGTACAGGAATGGCACTGTTAACCATAGGACACTGTTGTATATGTTGAAAGAGGAATCGGAGCACCTGTAGATGAGTCTGGGGTGCTGTGAAGATAGTCCATCTCATAACTGAAAGGACACTCTGTAGTGTACCTGACGTATCAAAATGATTGACGGTCGATGTAACTGGTAGGCTCCTCCCATCAGAAACTGAGTGCAAAGTTCAACCAATGTAAGTGTCTAGGCCTGAGTTGCGTGAGGGGGGGGGGGGGGGTTATTTTCCATTGGAAGCTGAAAGGAAGAAGACTACAAAATAGGCTGTTGTTTACTCTGTCAACCTAGCTGAAATGAGAAGCTGTCCTTAAACAGCTGTAACAGTTTGTAGTGAATTGTTTGCTGCAAGATCGGCAGAAACATTTCGTAATGTAATCAGCAGTTTCCTTTGTAATCTCTACATGTTATATATCACAGTCGCTATAATAGGATTTTACTGTGCTCTCAGTAATGCTCTTTCTGTATAGGATAGTTATTGTGCAGCGACTTGGCTGTGTAATCTTAGTTTCTCACATATTCTATGCTGTTGCAGTGGTTTGGGGTAACCTGTTTTCCCTTTTACTGTCATGCCGTCCTAGATAATTCCCAGACAGTTGTGCAAATTTTCATGTACACATTTTATGAGACTAGACTCCAGACTGTTATTGCAGGATTGATCTTGCACCAATGTTGTGGTAAGCCTGACTATTTACTATGCCACAATAGCCTTACTTGTCTATATGCTCTGTGGGGGGGGGGGGGGGGGGAGAGAACTCCAGAACCAAAGAGATCAATGTTCCTCAGGTCTTTCCCTCTCCCACTGGCACATTTTACTGTCCATTCTGGAAATCTGTCGTTGTTTTGTGTTTGGCATCAACATTGCTAAACATTCCATGCTTGGTTGGTGGGTTACAAACATGACTGACTGTGTGTCTCAAGATGCCCCAGTCCTCCACAGCTTTTTTTGGAATGTAGTTCCATTGGGCCAGCTCCCCAGCCTCTGCTAGATGTCAACAGGGCAGTCCTGCAGCACATGTTTAAGAGTCTGTCTGCTCCATCATGTGTCGGATTCTTTCATATCATAGTAAAATAAGAAGAGCACTTTGATTTCAATATTTCAATTCCTGATTGTTGGCAGATTTGGGGGGGGGGGGGGGGGGGGGGGGTATACAGAAGGAGCATTGCTGTGTTTAATTGAAGAGTTAATGATGCTTACTGACCAAATGATTGCTGTGTCTGTGTTTGTTGTGTGAATTATTAACCCATTATAACAGTGAATGTTCATTGACTGATTCATGTTTCTAGGATTGTTGCTAGATAGTTGTTTGTGATGCATCTCTGTGAAGTGCCAGTTAACCTGCACCTGGTTGGACTCCTGCAGCATGACTCACCACTGTCAGGTTAACCTTGCATGATTAGAGCAGACTCAAGTTCAGTCTGTTAATAAACAATGAGTGAAGACTTGTACGGATCCACTTGAATACATTAAAAGAAAGAAACCTAATAGTGGCATGATAATTAGGTTTTGAGTGAAAAATAACATGCATGAGAATGATCAGTAACACTGTTTATATATCAGATAATACTTATTGACAGTTAAATGTGATCTGTAGTAACACATATTAAAATCAGAACTTGGTATCTAAATTGTTCAGTCTGCAGTGGATAAATAACTATTCTAAGTGTAATATTTAAAAAAAAGGGGGGGGGGGGGGTTAACTTGGTGTTAATCTGTCAAATGGCTGATTGGATAATGGATAAGTCAAACTGCTTACAGAATTTGTTTTCACTGGATTAAGTTTGTCTGTTTATAGGGAATTTCGAATTTCAGTATTGTAAGAAGAAATGAGTAATTGAAAACTTCAGTTTTTAATATGTTTTCTTACAAATGTGTGACAAAGTAAATCAAAACCACAATTTAATTTTCGATATTAAATAAAATTACATTTAAGGTTAACAATCATGCACATTTGTGCTGGTTTGTTAATAACCTATTTGTTAAGTACCACACTGGTATACTCATTTCTTTTCTTAAACTAGGAATGGAGGGCCCAAATAGGTCAGTAGAATTCCTGGAATTATAGAAAAAATCCTTTGAAAAATTTGTTCACAATGGCGACTAACAAATTTGTTCAAAATTTATTTAATAACTACATTTAAAAAAAATGTGTCAGTATATAAAGATATATAAAAAGAGTAATCAATAAACACAAACACTGTGAAACATTAAATGGGGCACATTCCCTGAGCCCAGAAAAAATATGTTTAGGGTGACCCATGCCCTGACCTCTCTAACTAATGCTTACGGGAAGATTTGATGCCAGCTTGGCTTTAAAAAAGCTGTTTGGCTAAGAAGGACCCCCTATAGGTTTTTTTTAGTAGTTTTTACATCCTGACCTAAACATTAAACATTTGCGCATGCATGAAAACGGCCAGTAGCATTAATTATTCATCTCGTAAACTAATCACTATAGACAAATCAAAAAGAAGACATTTACAGGGGGTTGGACCCAAGTAGAATTGTCAGTTTTGCGGCTTCTCAGGTGAAAAAGGAAGGTGGCCGACATGCTGATGACTAAATATTTTTGGCTGGGGAAATGTCTGTAAATATTAATTCATTTTGATAAGACGGTTGATCATTGGTCGGATATTTAAGAGAGCTTATTGCAGGCTCTTGCAGCTCTTTTTTAAACAATGGCAGCTGTTCCACTTACTGCCTGTATATACCCCTTTTGTTGTGTAGGCCGGGGGTATTTGAGCCTGAAAATTTAATGCTGCGTGGCTAAAAATCATAATCCAGTCATCTCCTTGTGAGATGCAATTTTTCATTTTTTTTTTCAAGCCCTACTTTGGCTCTTGTCAGGGGCCGCAATATAGCCTGACCATAAATATGGTCTAATGGCTGAATGCGGTTTCTGGGACCTTTCCACGGGTGATCAACATCCACATGGTGGCACTGTGTCATCGGGTGTTTATCCCTTGTGTTATGTCCTAGTGGGGTAAAAATCTACTACTACTACTACGCATAGCTAGCTCTGTCACCACGCACTGTGCAGGTTAGGATTATTTTTACTCCATACAGAAAAGAAATCCACAACCTTACAGAGGATTTGAACCTGAGTCGCGCATAAGAGCCCAGTGTTCTTAACTTTTTGGCAAGCGCTAGTTCTGGGGTAAATTACGTAAACAGTTATTTTTTTTAGAGACAATGGTTTTATATTATTTTAATAGCACAGAATATTCCTTACTCATAATAAATGAAAACTTTTAAAAGTTATTGAAAATGAATTTAAAAGAATCTGTATCGTATTCACTGTTGGGTAGAAAAGAATTTATATTTATTCTGGTGTTAAAAACACCACTAAGCTCAAATTTTGTAATGGAAAGTAGAGTTTTAGACAGGTTTTAGACAGGTTTTAGACAGGTTTTAGACAGGTTTTAGACAGGTGTATAGGATACATTTCAGAAATTAGAAACGGAAATAATAATTTAAGACATTTGAAATAAATGTGTAATTTAAGAATAAATCTGTGGTTGAAAATAAAATCTTCAGCAAAAGAAATGTTAGCATACTTATAGCTCAGATAAATAGATAGGAAGTAATGATAAGGTGAAGAATCATGACTTAGCATACTTTAAGCTCAGATAAATAAGTTGAAAGTAATAGTCATGAATTGGTGTTCCTAAAGATCAGATAATAAAGTTGTAAGTAACAGTGAGGTGAAGAGTCGTGGTTTAGCGTACTTAAAGCTCAGGTAAATCAGTTAAAAGTAACAGTGAGGCGAAGAGTCGTGATTTAGCGTACTTAAAGCTCAGGTAAATCAGTTGAAAGTAACAGTGAGGTGAAGAGTCGTGATTTAGCGTACTTAAAGCTCAGGTAAATCAGTTAAAAGTAACAGTGAGGTGAAGAGTCGTGATTTAGCGTACTTAAAGCTCAGGTAAATCAGTTAAAAGTAACAGTGAGGTGAAGAGTCGTGATTTAGCGTACTTAAAGCTCAGGTAAATCAGTTAAAAGTAACAGTGAGGTGAAGAGTCGTGATTTAGCGTACTTAAAGCTCAGGTAAATCAGTTAAAAGTAACAGTGAGGCGAAGAGTCGTGATTTAGCGTACTTAAAGCTCAGGTAAATAGGTTGAAAGTAACAGTGAGGTGAAGAGTCGTGAGTCATGATGTTTGGTGTGTGACCCTTCCAGGCTGCTCGAAAACTGGCCATCACAGAGGTGGATCTGGAGAGAGCTGAGGCCCGTTTGGAGGCTGCTGAGGCGTAAGTAGTTGCTGGTGACCGACAGACGGCAGACACATGAGTATACTTCTTCTGTCAGATCAGCACACATTTCAGTATGCAACTTCTTACATTCAGTCAGAAGGTGCATTGGTTTGAAAATGTTTGGGATGGTCTTTTGGGGATTTTGGTGAAATGTATACTGGTCTGTCAGAGGACATGTTACAAAGAGGAGGCAATGTTTATGTTCATGGCCTTGCTGGTTGGCTTTAGATTCATGGAAAAATTATGGTGCTGTATTTGGACAGCTTGTTACTTACTAGCTGACTGATCATTTGCTGTGAATGGAATTTTCCTTTCAGCACCGGAAGAATTCTTCTGAACTCTCGCAGATATTTAAAGATTCCCAGACACACAGTTTGAACAGCTGCACCTGGGAATTATGTTGAGCAGTCACTCTGTTATATTGGCCGACACATCTCTGCCTGAGATTTTATATAAAGACAGGACAGGCTTTCCATCTCTTTCAACAGAGTAAGCTGAATTTAACACACCCAAAAACCAAACAAAAACTACAAGATGTCAGGAAATCTTGTTTATATTTCTATCCATGGATATCAGCATTGCCTCTTTGTGATATCATCTCATTTCCTTGCTGCTGTTGTAGACAAGGGTAACCATCTCACATGCCATTTCAGCAGGCTCATTGTTGTGTTTACTGGAAGCAGTATATGTTCTGGTGAATGTAGAGTCTCTAAAACTATGACAGTGCAGCAGTAGCTGTCAGTGTATATAATTATTTGAATGACGAAGACGCACACAAAAGATTGTAAAATTTATTGCCCAGAATATTTCTCTGGTATCTTGTCAGAAACAATTTATGTACAAAATTATGTAAAAGTTAAGCAGAAGCTCACATGAGGGCAGATACTGCTTTCACGTAAATCCAATCACTGAAATATGTTTCATGAACATGATAAAATGCCTTTATGCTGCATGTCTTTTTAAATCATGATCTAGGCTGCACGCAAAATGGTCGTCTTAGAATGTGAATTAGAAAAGGCCGAGGAAAGAGCAGAAGCTGCCACGAGGTAGGCTTCATAAATGTTACATTCATCATCATCATTGTCAAACACACAGGGTCATCGGGAAAGAGACGGCCACTTCAACTTCACATACTTTTGGGATCTTTTATCTTTTCGTCGTGATGCTTCACTTGATTTCCTAATGGGACAAGATCTGTATGGTATGCCTGTCAGTCTGAAAGACCTCGAGTCCTCGCAAGTTGCCCACATATCATTGCCAGTTGTTTTAATTATCTTTCTTTGCTGAGACTCGACCCTCTGGCCCGTGTCGATCCATGTTTTTAACATTTTGGCTCCTGAGTAGACTTAGTTGACTAGCGCTGACTTAGAGGATCCGTTATCCTTGATTTTATGATGGTATCAGAGAGGTATTCTTCTGTCCTTGTAGACTCCTCGCCAATCGAGACAGTTCTTCAGACATGTCTTCTTTCATTGTCACTACTTTCTAGAAATATCAGAAACATTACACTTATAATATACTATCCTTTATCTATTATTTCAAGTACTTGTGAACAAATTTGATACAGAATGCTGCATCATCATTCCATGGAGGTGTTATCAAAACTTGAATCTTTGATTGGCTGTTTGCATCTACTGAACACATCAGATTATATAGCATGATCATTAACACCAACTTCTTGTTAAGCTTTGTAACACTTCCAAATCATTTGTGTAGGTTAACTATCTGAACTTCTCTTTTGTGATGGCTGTGTGTGATTTATCATTGTCATTTTATTTACAACATTATCAACTGTTTTGGCTAATATTATGTTATTAATCTCAATCTCATGTGTTGCATTGATTCAGGCAAACACACGCTGGGTTCATTCAGCAATTTAATTTTGTTATGCTTATCCTTGATGAACTTGGTAGCTTTATTGCTCCTTCTTTGGAATGTTGTAGTTCTGGTCTGCTAGCTGCTCTATGATTTGAAATTAAAATTGTAATCTAACAATAATTATTTTCTGACTGCATGAGGCCTGTTAGAAATGAGACAGTACAAATCAGTGTGAATGCCACAGTAGCAAGAACATAACCTTAAGAAAGTAAACAACCAACTGCCCGGCTTGCTATAACTTGTCATCACCTAACATATCTTTATCTTTATTCTGATTCATGTTCTATTTGGCACAGATGAACCTGCATGCATTTCTCCTGTTTCTGCTGCAAGCTTTTTTCGAGAGCGAGACTAGACTTTGTCTTCAGGTGTCTTCGGACACGCATAACTTTAGAGGGAGATGAGCAGTGGAAGCATTTCCTTATTTATATCACAAATGTGTAGCTAGTGAAGATGATCCTTTAGAGTGGGGAAATGTTCACTTCAAGAGAAGTCTGGCGTCAAGCTGACACATGGACAACAATCATTTGTTTGAGCAATGATGGCGACACCTCCAAAATATTGTCTTGAATATTTTAACTGCAGTGCAAAAATACTACCCTCTAAATTAAGAATTGTAATGTGTGAAACATGCAGAGATACTAATTAATACCTGCTTCCAGCTATGAGAAACTTAGAAAGTCACACAGAAGAGATGAATGTAAGCAGGATGCTAGCAACAAATCTAAATAGATTATGCATTGATAGAAAAGACAAAGTATATGCATCATTTGTTGACTTTGATAAGCTGAGGCTGACTCCATTTTTCTCATTCATGTATTTCTTGATTTCTGCCTAGTGTCTGTATGATACTGAGATAAGAGAAGGGGCGTGTCCAATATAGAAGCTCAAGTTTGATCTGAGCTTTCACCAAATGATGTATTTGTTGTAGGAACGTATCCTTAACTAGACCTGTCTCAAGTTTGCCTGTAGTTTGCATTTTGAAGCTGTCATATTCTTGCTCTGCATTTGATACTGTTCATTTCACTTCCTGTTTTTTTTTTTTTTTTTGGGTCCATGTTTTTTCTCTTCTCATGTATGTGCTGTTTGTTCATGATCTCTGATTTGTGTGTCCAGAAGAGGGGCTGTTGTCTGTGTGTGTGGTAATGTATGTTTTATGTATGGGGACATTTCCACACCTGGACGTATATTGGGTATATGGTGCTAACTTCATAATGTTATAGACCAGTCATTGCTTGATCATTGATGAATGATCTGGTCATCTTTACTTCACACAACATTTCCTGATACCCTGAGGCTCTTTTGACTTGGGAGCCTAGGTCATTTGAAAATACCCACATATAAAAGGATTCTCCCTGTGTGGGTTCCGGGGCCCCATTTTGGGACAAATAAGAATAGACCCACTGTCATTTGGTGTCATTTGGACACCACAGGGGAAAAGATCTCGTGGAAGACCAAAGGAAACCCTACGTAGAACTATCATCAGGGAAGGCTCACTCATGGGCCACTCAAACATCCAAGACCTACAACATTGCAACGAACCGCCATGCATGGAGAGTCATGACCTCTGCCCTATGTGCCGCACTTGACACAAGAGGAAAGACTAACTAACTAACTGTCCCCTAGCAAGCATGTCATTAAGGTCCTTACTAGGGGTGTTTTCTTTGAATTCGGAGTGTCTTTGCCTCTTAGGCGAGGAACCAACAATCTGCTTTTAAATAAGCTAGATCTGTAAATCGGATGTGCATGTAAAACTCAAGTTCTGGAACAAGAGATGGACGAACAACTCGAACTTTCTGCGAGAGTTTACAGCCAGTAAATGTAAAAAGAAAAAAAAAAGAATTTAGTCTTTTGACAACCAGTTGACATTCATGGTTTCTGTCCATGTGTATGTCCCCTGTCCATGTGTATGTTCCCTGTCCATGTGTATGTTCCCTGTCCATGTGTATGTTCCCTGTCCATGTGTATGTTCCCTGTCCATGTGTATGTGTGTGCCTGTGATGAGCATGGGCCCATCAGTATGGGCTGTGTCCTGAAACTAACCAGCATGCCGCTATCCCTGCATGTGTCTGTGATTGCTGTTGACTTTTGCAGGAAAGTGAGAGCACTAGAGGCTGAAGTCCATACTCTAACCAATAGCCTTAAATCATTAGAGCGATATGAAGAGAAGGTAAGAAGCACCTTAGAGTTAGCTCTCATTATTGAGTATCCCTGTTGTTGTGTCATATTTAATGTGTCCTAACTGCCCACATCTTGGGTCGCTGCTTAAACATCTAATGGGAGAGTTTTCTACCTCACTTTGTTGGTACTAATAACAGTAACCTTTGCGGCGGCACCCTGTAGATGTTGGCAGTTGGGGCTTGCTGAGACTGGTGACTCTGACAGCTCACTCTGGCTATTGTACACATCACCAAGAATTTGGTGAATATCGCTGATTTATTTGAGTATGGAGGAACACTTTGTAAATTAATGGCATTACCTTTATTTTGCTTTATTCTATAGCAACTTTTTTTTTACATGTGGTATTCCAGAAATGAATCTAATCTCATAAAGGAATAACATGTCCAGAAACAAGAAAACAGTTTCAGTTGTATCTCATGCTTCTTGTGGGCATAATTTTTAATAAATTTGAAAAATCAGCAATGGAATCAAGCCGGTAAATTAGCCAAAATTACAAAAATTTTATTTTTAATTTGTAGATAATGTTCATTACAAATTGTATAGCCAGTTGAGTTTGGAGTGACCAGTTGACGTTTGCTGGACGTGAACTTATGTAGCTTTTTCTGATTTCGAAACACAAAAAACTGCAGACCGCCCTGGCCCTCTTAGAGTTGCCTGGTTGGACAGAGTTTGATTGCTGTGCCCACTGGCAAGATTCTTCACTATTCTCTCTTTGATAGTTGTATACGCATGGCCATGTTGAATTGTGCGCCTGTTGTGCTCAGATTAATATATACACACTCAGTACCTTTTCATATTTGTAGGAAGACACTGTTCTGCTTGCTGTAACTCCGTGCCTCAACCAGGCAGCAGCTTTGGACCAACCCCTAGAAGTGGAAGTAACAACCGGGGAATTATTTCTGGCCTCGCTGTTTGTGAGGATTTGTTATTTGCCAGTGGGGTGGACAAATTGACCTTTGTATGTAAAGCTAGTCTTTACTTGCATGCGTTGCCGCAAAAAGATACATGTCTGATGGGTTCTCTCATAACTGCACAAAAGCTGAGCAGGCCAAACCTGCTGCCAATGGTTGTATGGCATGGGAGACATCTAGGCTGAGGAATGCTCATATAGCTACCGCAGCATCAATTCAGTAGCTTTGTTTTCTTCTTCCCTTTCCAGCAAGATTTGGGAGCTTGATGAGGAACTTCATGTAGTGGGTAACAATATCAAAACCCTGTCCATCCAAAACGATCAGGTAAGCCAGAGCCTCCAGTTAGGGGGGCAGGTCTGCGGTTTTTCTCTGCCAGCATTGGTTGTATAATTTGACTTGCTCTGTTCTTGCAGGAAAATCCTTGAGTTGGAGGAGGAGTTGAAGGTCGTCGGCAACAATATGAAATCTTTGGAAATCAGTGAACAAGAGGTAGACTTGCAAAGTCTCATTTCCTCATGGAAACCTGCATGGTGTCCGTCAGTTCGTGCCGTCATTAATTTCATTTTACAATTACTAAAGTGCCACGGCTGCAGATGAGAAAGGTTATATGGTGCATGCAATAACTTCAGAGGGCCCAAAATATTGACTCCTTACTGGGATGAGTTTCTGGTTCTGTTAGTGTTCGATTGCTCTAAAGTTCTATTCAGAGCCTATATTATGTCTGAACTAGAATCCGGAGCTGTACTGTCAAGGCTTCCTTCAGCATTAGACCTAATTAGTGCTTGCTGCTTTCCGTGGCTGAATAGTATATCTATGTGTTCATGTCTATTGCATAGTATCCATAATCTGTCGATTTTTGTTCAGGGTTGTTTCCCAGTTTTATCAGTTGATTCTTCCACACACACACACACACACACACACACACCCCACTTTTTTTTTCTGATTCTGCAGAAAGAAATTTGACATGGTTTGAATTTTTTTTGTTTTTTTTTTTTGGTTAACCATTCTGTTTTGTTTAATTTGTTGGTTTTGTTTCTAAGACACCATGATTAGTGTGTGGAATTCATTTCTTACATAACGGCTTTAAGTGAGAATGAACTTGCACCATTTGACAGACTTTGATGTTTAAAGTCTACGTTTGTGGGTGACCATCATGGTCCTCAAAGGCTGATGTAAGAGATACACCCTAAATCGTTCGTCCAGCCTATAAATTGAACATAAAACATGCACAATAAGATGTAACTTGGATGGAGTGACACTAAAACGGTTCTACTGGCATTTGGTAAAACTAACTTAACTGTAGCTGAAAATGGTGACGACATCATTGTCACAGTTTGGTCAAACACTTTGATGTGGAAGCTGATTATATCATGACTTAGCAATTTGTAATTTGAGTTGCTTTTGCGACAGTTACAGGCCTAAGATAGTGCCTTCTGGATTATTATTACTATTTCTTTTGCAATCATTTACATTTAATTTGTGTTTTTCTTCTGGCATTTTTACTTTCATTATATTCATTGTCTAGTGAAAATCACTTCATGCACACCTCTGTTTCATAAACGCCTCACCTTTTTTATGTGTGCGCGTTTCACAATTTGTCTTTTCTTCCTTGGGAATAATATAAGCATAAGGTCTCAGTTAAGTCTTGTAATTTCTTGTAAATGTTCATTTCCACATAATTGCTCAAACCACACGAGAGTATGATCATAATATTACACACTGCAGACCTCGGAAGGGATTTAGTTTTCCTGGAGTTAGAGCTCAGTGTTTATTTTGTTGTTGATGGAAACTTCTGTGCATAAGCTGAGGCTTCAGATTTAAGTGATATCCCAAGTATAGGTTAGTTGTTGATGTCCACTTGTGGTGAAGATTGCCCGTGCATGCCAACATATTTTGGGCGCTCGAGAGGTTATCCATTGAAACATAACATGAAATATGTGAAGAGCCATTCCGTCGACTAACACGCCTGGGAGCCTGTAATGTTACATCTAGTCAGTTGTCCGCCATGCATGCCAACATCCCTCAACAAATTCTGCTCATCTGAACCGACTTAAATTCAGGCTTTATTTTATTTTTGTTGCTTACAATTTTCTTGTGTGGATTTGTTAAAGTAGTGCTAGAACCAGGCAAACCTAACTAAATCTTGTTTGTCTAGTGTGTGTTTTCCATTAATCCTTGCTAAGTCAACCTGTTTTTTAATTCTCTATCATATTCAGAGAATGTTTTAGCTTCTTATATTTTAGTTTTTCCCATTGAAATTGATTTCATTGTCAAGATAACAGAATTGAGTGGATATAGACTGTCTGACTGAAGACATTTTGAGTACTTTGACTTGTGTGTGCTTAAACTTATGCTTGGGAGTATTACTGAGAGCTTCTTTCATGGTCTGGTCAAAACTAACCAGCATGCAGGACAAACGTTCAGCCAACCAGGGCTCAGCATCCATATCATGTTAGAATGTGGTGCTTAAATAGTTTCTTTCTTTCTGATTTTTATTTTTTCATTTCATATTTTTTCAATAAACTATCTAATTAACAGTTTACAAATATTGTTAACAGTAATTGTGATGTTAATTTTTGATTGAAACTCTTTTTAAGTGGGGTATCATCCTACAGTGTGTTATAAACATATTGATACTGTGTTTTCTCTTGTATATACTTACTTAGTTTTCCTATGGTCTATCATTAGCATTAGTCTTTCATTTGTGGTTCAACTGGCTTTGAATCTGTAGATCCTGTCTTGACAACAATCTTCACATATTTCTCATAGAGCTAGTTTTTGTAATTGATAAAAGACAGCAGTAAAATCACCAAATAAAGAGTTGTAGGATGTGTATTTTTTAAAATGTCACATCCCTTCAAAGGTGTTCATATGATGACACTGAAATTAATGTCTTATTCTAAGTTTAAGAAAATTATGGGTCAGAGTTATTTTTTAAACAAGTTTTTGTAAATTGGAGGGAAAGAGAAAACTTGCTGCAGAAATGTTTATTTTTGTTCTTTTATAACTGAATAAATTTGTTTTTTTACTTTCGGAATATTTTATTTTTAGTGTCAACATCACATTAAAATAAAAATGTTTTTAATTACTCCAAGTTTAAAGAATAAAAATTCAGTTATAAAAACAATTTAATTTAGTACTTTTTTTATGGAGGAATGTATAAACATTATGTTGCTTATTATTGATGACTTTTGCACTGGACAGTAGAGGTTTATTTTAATGTTTATGCTGAACTGTTTCTCTCTGGGTGATCTGAAGAATTGGTGGTTAGATGTTATACTTGTAACTCTCTGGAGGATCTGATAAATTGGTAGATAAATGTTATCCTTGTAACTCTCTGTGGAATCTAAAGAATTGGTAGAAAGATGTTATACTTGTAACTCTCTGGGGGATCTGAATAGTAGAATTCACATTTGACTTCTGGTTTGGTAGTTTGTCAGACATGATGTTTTAGTTGTAGGTCATACATGATTTTTGGTTTCTTGGTGGTACTTGAGACATGATGTTTTAGTTGTATGTCAGATGTGATTTTCTGGTAGAATTTCAAATATGGTTTTTTAATAGTTTCAAACATGTATTTTGTTTATGGGTAGTGTTTCAAATATAATTTCTTGGTAGTATTTCAGACATAATTTGTTGTTATTAGTCCAGCCATGATTCCATACATGTCTTTTTGTTACTGTGTCATTCATGTCTGAAACCTAGTTATGCTCCAGGCTTGAGCCTTACTGAAGTAACACAGGTAGCTGGTAGTTTTAGTCAAGAGAAGATATTGAATGTCACGTTGTAGTAATGAAATGTTTTGTTATTTGTTGTTAAAATACAAAACATGGGAGAGACCATTCTTGTCAATGGTTTGCCTGTATCCTGTGTTGTAGCAGTGGTAGTTGTGACAGCATATGGTTGTCTACAGTCATATACTGATCACATGTCCATCTCTTCACTCTAGGCATCCCAGAGGGAGGATAGCTACGAAGAGACGATCCGCGACCTGACCCAAAGGCTCAAGGACGTGAGTATCTTGCTTTTTGCATGATGTGTAGTGTGTGTTTTTCTTGCCATTTTTTTTAATGTATGTTTACTTGTATGTTAAAATTAATGCCTGGAGTATGTTAACAAAGCTGTCTTGTTGATGATGTTCAAACCAGCAGGTTATCTTCCTTGTTCTGCTTGTATTATGATGTAATTATCTTGACTGTGTTTTGTGGCTTTGTTTGACTGGCATATTTTGCAAACTGTGCTAGACTTGCCCCCCTTCTCTGCTCGTCCTTTGTTCTCTTCTGTCTGCCTTGTTTCTTTCTTCTCTCCTCCTCTCCTCTTCCAGTCTCTCTCATTACATTCTTTCATGGCCACAACTGTTTCCCATCACCTAGATGATTTGTGTGTGTGTTTCAGGCCACATTTAAAGTGATAATTGTTTCAGATTAAATGTAATGGGATTTTGTCTTTTAGAAGGGTAATGTGGGTTTTTCTTGTTCAACAAAACGTGCAGGTAATGTCATTTTGGGTAAAAGGCAGTGGGGTGTGAAAGATTTTTATGGATGTTTTCTGAAAACTTGTCCTTTTTTAATGTCTTGTTGGCATTGTAGGTAAGCTGTTTTCGTATGTTGCTTGTCAGTGTGTCCTTTGTTTGTTGCTTTTGTGAATGACAAATGTTTCTTGTGATTCCTATGCAGAGAACTGGAGTTCATTTTAAATTTTATTACAGTTGAGAATTATTTTGGGGGTCTACTTAGTAACCAGTTGATTTAGGCCAGGCTTTGGTTACTGAATGACAACCCCCTTCATTCATGTTTTTTAGAGACCGGAAGCTCACTTATAAGATTAGAAGACTGTTGCCATCCTCTGATGGTCATCTCCTGCTTGAGCAGCAAGATCTGATCAGTAGTCCACTAAAATTACAACTTCCTCATTCTACAGAACACTGAAGTTGCCAACACCAGCTGCTCATGAAAAAGTATAGAAAAGGCTTGGCATAAGTTGGTGAGAGCCTTTGCCCCAAAGAGGGAGGAATAAATGGCACAAGAACAAGAATAAAACACACACTGCCACCATGTTACTTCTCTCAGATGCGATTAGGATACTGATTCAAATTGATTTTTGGCTGCAAATAAGCAGACAGAGGAATGGTGTTGAACTGCTAACAATTAACATATGTCATAATGGTCCTTGAAAGCTGGACAACGCTTGAATAGCAGTTAGGGCCTTGATTTACTTGACATGCCCTGGATAATTTAAAAAAGGACCAGGGTCCTTGCAGTTTAGACAACTCGGTGTATATCATCATCAGAAATCTCACACGGGTTGGACTGAAACAAATGTGTTTGTGATTGACATAGTATGCCTTAATTGAAGTGTTGTATGTCCGGATCTTTCTGTGATTGATGTGCCTTGCCTATGTCACCCAGGCTGAGAACCGTGCCAGCGAGGCTGAGCGTACGGTGTCCAAACTACAGAAGGAGGTGGACAGATTGGAAGGTAGACCATGCTTGACCTGGGCTGTGTTCACGGCTTGTCTCATAGCATGCGTTGCATTTTGTTTTTGACACTGCATGGCTCACTGGGAAACTCAGACTGCCTACATTTTCCACTGCTTCGTCTTTGAACATTATTTAATAGCCTGCAATATCCTTGTCTGTGCACAAACAGAAACACTAAACACATATCTAATTGTGATAAGTACTTTCAGCTGTTACTTTCCTGGTTAGGAGGATTTACTTATTATTTCTAATAACCAGCCCAAAAAACATAGCGTATTACATACACTTTATAAAAATAACATCCAATCATTAAAGTTCATACATTTTGTGGTTTAAATGTGTACAGAAAAAGTTATTCAGGAGCGAGGGTCCTGTAAAATCAGTCAGGTTTCTACTGTCGAGAAGTTTATAGAACTCCTGGGGTTGGGTTCCCTTTTATTGTTAGAATAATCTACCTATAAATTGTAATGTAAAACCTGCTTAGATTAATAGTATCTGTTTTCTTTTTCTTCTTTATTATATATGTATATACACACGGAAGGGGTATCTTTTTGTGAGGAAATAATTTTTTTTTAAATATATTTTTTCAAATTCTTTTTTCAGGCATATAGATTAAAAATTTTGAACAGTTTCAAGTTCATACAATATTCCATACAAAACTTTACTGAGAGAAACATCTGCACTCAAATACATTGCTTGCCTACATAGAATAATTCGGTTCTGTGGCTTTTTCCCTATTTGCACTCTATACAGTCACTTTCATTTCAAATATTGAAATTTAGTTATGTGGTTACAGCATTCTTCTGCATGCCTGATTGGATCTTTTTAACATGTATCATTCTAAACAGATGTGTGCAATCTGGCAGATATCTGAGGACATAAAAATAATATAACAGGGTGATTGACTAACCTTCCCCTGTTAACACGATAAAACCTATATTGTGACCTAGAGAGTGTATATTGACTTTGCTTCCAGATCCCTAGATAAATTTTTGCTAGCCTACATTTTTACCAGTTTCTTGGCTGCTGACATCAGTTGTGAGTCAGCACGCATCCAAGCTGACAATGAATTTGGACCTCAAAATAATTGTAGTTTTACATAATTTTTGGACCAAGATGGGTTTATAAATCTTTTCTCGAACAAAGAAACAGTGCAGGGATGTAACATTTTTCTGCTTATCTCAGAATTGATACCCACCTTTCTGACCCCAAAGAAAGTTGATACACATTCTCCGCTGGTCGCCTCACAGTATATTGATGCCTTCTGCTATGTGCACCATATACAACTGGTAGCTTTGCTTGTTTCCCTCACTAAATGACCGCATGTGTTCCCTTCATTCTTGTATCTAGGCCGAATGCAGAGCAGAACTTTCCGAACGAGAGGTTGGGGCTCTGCAAAAAGCATTAGAGCGAATGGAAGGTAATATTTGGGCTTGGTACAAAGTCTTAATAGAATCTAAAAGTGTTTGCTTATAAATATGAGCCAGAAGTCCACTGAACAGCATTCCTGGATTAGGACATAAGTATGTCAGTCCCACTGGTAATCAGCACTGACACACAGTAATAGAAACCATAGAGGAAGGAGGCATATTCTTTCTGTGTATTGGAGTGAAGATAAATGTGTCTCTGCTTTTCTCTCACTCTGTTTCTCTCTCTCTCTCTCTCTCTCTCTCTCTCTCTCTCTCTCTCTTTTTCTCTCTCTCTCTCTCTCTCTCTCTCTCTCTCTCTCTCTCTGTGTTTGTGTCACTTCCTTTCTAGCTCTCGTACTTTTTTTAAAGCTTCTTTCTTCCTTACTCTGTCACTCTTTCTTTCCGTCTTATTGTGTTTCTCCTTTTGATAGATACATTTTTGTGAGTCTCAGTTAGCACAAATTTGTTTAATATCAATTCTTGAATTGTCGGTCCCTTGGAATTTAAGTTAACAAAGTTTTCAGGTATTTACAGTAAGTCACATTGGCATGGAAACATCATTTTGATTGGTTAATTTGGCCCTGTTATTGATTACTGTAACTAGGTGCTGAAAGATTACATTTGAGTAAAATATGGTTAACTTGTGTGTGAGTGTGCATGTTTGATCAGAAGAAACTTGTTAACTGTGTGCAACGACTTTGTGTGTCTGTTCTTGTGTAACAAATACAACAAGTAACCCTGCTTGTAACACTAACATTGAACTACTAGTTGGTAGACATCTTTTGAGTCTGCTGTAGTACCTTGCCCCAGTGCTGTTTCATTCAATCTCCACATTTCCTTAGTTTGGAAGTATCAGTTCCAAAATTGTCCAGGTTATTTGTTAAGAGATGAAATTAGATTTGGGGTGGTGGCACCAGCAAAGATATATCTCAACCTCTGATTTCAGTGGGATTAAAAAGTTGACGCTTAATGCTTCCCATTAATATACAACTGAAAGGAACACACCACCTGAAAGCACACAGGGACTTCAAAGCACACAGGGACTTCTGGAGATATTGGACGGAAAAGTGCTGGAGATATTGGACGGAAAAGTGCTGGAGATATTGGACGGAAAAGTGCTGGAGATATTGGACGGAAAAGTGCTGGAGATATTGGACAGAAAAGTGCTGGAGATATTGGATGGAAAATTGCTGGAGATATTGGACAGAAAAGTGCTGGAGATATTGGACGGAAAAGTGCTGGAGATATTGGACAGAAAAGTGCTGGAGATATTGGACGGAAAAGTGCTGGAGATATTGGACAGAAAAGTGCTGGAGATATTGGACGGAAAAGTGCTGGAGATATTAGACGGAAAAGTGATGGAGATATTGACAGAAAAGTGATGGAGATATTGGACGGAAAAGTGCTGGAGATATTGGACAGAAAAGTGCTGGAGATATTGGACGGAAAAGTGCTGGAGATATTAGACGGAAAAGTGCTGGAGATATTGGACAGAAAAGTGCTGGAGATATTGACAGAAAAGTGCTGGAGATATTGGACGGAAAAGTGATGGAGATATTGGATGAAAAAGTGCTGGAGATATTGGACGGAAAAGTGAGCCTTATATTTCACTTGTAGAGATAGTGGAGTTAGATGAGCCTTAAATTTTATTTACCCTGAACTAGTAGAGTCTCTTCTTCTGCTTCTTCTTTTGCATTCATCATTAGAAGGGCAGTTAGCACCTTGTATTATGATATACAGATAGGCTGTGATATCTGTGCCTTTTTGCCTGACCCGGTTTAGGGACAGTGGGTCTTGCCTTTCTCCCCAAAAAAGGGTTCGGATCACCACAGGGGCAATCTCGGCTACTGAAGCCACTCGGAGTTAACCAGATAACTTACTTGACAAATTTTGGAGGGATTTTAGGGAAGTTGCTTCAAATTTGACGTGGTCTACAAAGAATTAAAAACATGTTCAGGGATGTATTTACAAAGTGTTGTGTAACACTGGCCCATTATTTTATCAAAATGTGGAGATTAAGGCAGCCAGGAAGTGATGATAGTTAGAAGAAACTAACGCATGTGTTTGTTGCATGGTTTCCCCCCTGTGTTTGCAGACGAGCTAGAAAGGTCTCGTGAGCAGAACGTCAAGTTGCGGCTGGAGATGGACCAGTGCATCTCGGACCTGGAGAACCTCTAACGAGCATGACAGGTTGCCTGTCTTGTGTTTGTGTGTACTAACTTGATGCTGTGTGGCATGTTGCCTCTATTCTAATCTTCCTTTCATTACATTCCCTATATAGGTTCCTGGGCCCCATTGGGGTGGGGGGCAGAGGGATAGACCCCGGCTCTTGAAAAGCATGGGGTAAAAGGCGACTAATTAAGGTTCTGATGGACTTGGATATGTTGAGTCAAAAGTTGCAGAAATCGCAGCCTAGCTGTAAAACCACAGCATGGTACGCCGTCGTCATCATCGTGTAGCAGGTCCTTTGCAGAACATCGCTCTCATCACGGTCTGCCTGAAAGAAACGGTCTCTCGCCAGCTCTCCTGCCTCATGATTTTTCATACTCAATGACTCCTATCCTTTGCCCATCTTCGTGTTGGTCGGCCCCCTGCCTCTCCTTCCTGGTACCATGCCTTCTGCTTTAATTTTTTCCAATCCGTCGTGGCGCTTGATATGACCAAAATATTTCAGCTTCTGAGACAGGATGCTGTTTATTAGCCAATCTTAGTTGATGTTCAGATCTTTTCAAGATGTCAGTATTTCTCCTCTTTTTCATCCGAGATATTCTGAGAATCTTTCTATAGCATTTCAGCTCAAAAGCCCCTATTCTCTTTCTTAAGGACTGGGAGATAGTCCAGGACTTGCATCGGCGTGTTGCTACGGGGAAGATGCATGCTCTCAAAATCCTCCTCTTAATTTCTGTCATACAGTCTCCATTGCTATTTATTATAGAGCCTAGAAATTCAAAGTTTGTGACATTTTCGATTTCTTCACCATTTATTGTTATTTTTGGGCGACAGCCAGTTTTATCTGTAGACATTATTTTCATTTTCTTTAAATTCAAGAACAGATTTTGATCTTCACTTGCTTTTGGGCAGACAATATTAAATATTCTATTTCCTTTACCCTGTTCGAAAGGAGGACTGTGTCATCTGTGTAGCGAAGTTCCAGAATAGGGTTGCCACCAATTTTGAGCGGATCATGACTCACAAGTCTGGTACCCTAGCTTCCCTTTTAAGGGCAAATGCATGAGAAGAAAAAGGGTTTTATTACATGATGTAAAAAAAAAAGGGGGGGGGGGGGGGGGTCATTTTCTCCATGTTCCCTAAGGGGCATAAACAAGCTGCAAGTCTTGGTTTGATGTTTCCTGCTTGATTTGATTCTGGGAAGTAAATGTGGCCGGCGCGGCGTGATGCTGACCACATCACCCACCAAGTGCCGATAGTCTACAAAATGTAAGTCTAGCCCTATATACCCAATACACATGAAGGTCTCCTTTACTTGATGTGGGGGAAAGATTGACTGTTGTAAGATGCCTATACACTCACACACAGGCTCCCCAAAAAACTGTTCTATGGTGAACTGCAAAATGGGAAACGTTCTTAAAGCGGGCAAAAGAAACACTTAAAGTCTTCATTCAAAGCATTTGGGATGAATGACACCAATTGGGAGGCTGCCTCTCAAGACTGAAGTGCATGGCGTGCCACTCTACACAAGGGCGCGGCTACATGTGAAGAAAATAAAACAGCAATACTGATTAAGAAAATGATTGACAGAAAGGTGACTGCAGGAGATCCCCTTCCTGGTACAACACCCAATTCCCCGTCCTCACTGTCCAAGAACTTTTTAGGTCCGCATCGGCCTCATCAGTCATTTTCTTAGTCATACTTGATAAAAAAGAGTGCATCTTGGTGGACAACACACACACACACTCAGTAGTAGATTAAGAAGGTTTAAACAAGGTCTGAGAAGATGGATCACTGAGGAGTGACTAGGAAATTTGGCTTACACTCTGAGGAAAAGCCTGACGGACATATCATTCAATGCTACTGGTACTGGTAGCTATTAGCCGGCTGCAGAAGATGGGAACGGAGTGCTTGTGGGAATGTCCCAAATACTGGGATGTTGGTACTATACTGAACTTAGCATTTATGGAGTTTATATGTGAGACAGTAATTAAGTGTATGATTTAGAAACGTAACAGGCGTACATTTAGCTAACAGTTGACTTCTGCTTGCCTCCACAGACGAATTGCTGGCAGAGAAAGAGAGGTACAAAGCTATTTCAGACGAACTGGATAGTACATTTGCTGAACTGGCAGGCTATTGAGCCTAGCATCCCCTACTGGACAGTGTTGGTTCAAGAGCTTCCTCATCATCCCATTGATCTGTCGCAGTGGACCGACAATTTTGTATTGTTTAGGCTCAGCACGTTGCCAGGTTTTTTGTATCTCTTTGGCAGCATTGTTCACTTTCTCAATAGCTTATGACAAACTCTTTTTTTCTGCCTGTTTGGACAAAGTAATCTAGTAAATTTTTTTTACAGAAATGTTTCTTGATTGTTACTGTATGTATGATGAGGACAATTGTGGTTAACAATATGCTGTCCACTACACCAAACTGTTTGTGAGGAATTATTCTTTCGCTTGCATTTTTAAGTTCATAGAAAAAAAGTGAAGATCAAACAAATAGATGATGCTCTGAACATGCCGGGGTATGGAAGAATAAAAGTAAAGATCAAACAAATAGATGATGCTCTGAACATGCCAGGGTTGGAAGCTCTGCGCAGAAATCTTGTGAGTGAAATACCAGTAACAAGTAAATGTGCACGAGGATCGACACCTGTTTTCGTTTCTAGTGGGTGATTGACGTAAGATACCATCATGCTGGTGTGACAGCACAGGCATTATAACCCTAATGCTCATTTATAGCAGTTCAAATCATCCTAGTCAGATCATATAATACAAATTATTCCAGTCATCTGTGTGGTCATCTTGGGTGTTACTGGTAAATTGGACAATGTGATATAAATACTGGTCGTGGTGATCACCTAATTAACTTAGACACCCTTATGTCTGCATTGACCAAGCTGGTAGATCAACTAGTCATAGATCTCTACTCCTGAGTTTACCTCCACCAATGGACATGGCGATCAACTCCTCACAGAACACTAGCCATGGGTAAACCACCCCCATGCTAGGAGATTAACCAATCACAGATCACTCCCTGGCCATGCGATCACAAGACAGTGGAAACAACCAATCACTGATCACTATCCAAGGGTACACCATGACCAGAAAGAGAGATAAACCAATCACATATTAGCACATCTACTTAATTTATATATCATTACCGAAGACTTACATAAATAAATACTTAACCGTCTTTGGTCCCATAAATATGAGATCAAATCATACTATACCTACCAGTCCTTTGTCTTAACTCTCTCACTGTCTTGGAAATTAATTTTTTTAAAAACTTAGAAAATTGAACATTTGATAAAATAGTATGCATTTTATTATTTGTTCAAACTGGTATTCCAGAACATTGATGTGAAAGCATTGGAGAAAATGTCTCAGACAAGAGCTTATGGCATTTACATATATTTATGTGCTAGTGCGGGCGATAGTGCTGTGTTTACGACTGTTCATACGCTTGTCTATGTTGTTTTCGTTGATGTTCAGTTTGCCATTAGCTCCAATCAAGCTGGCCCTTGTGATTTGTTCTCTGTTACAAACATTTGATGTTTTGGAATCATTTAACGGATTACAATTTGCTGGATTTCAACCTGCACAGATGGGTTTTTTTCTTTCTTACATGACTTCTGTCAGTTATTTATAGCATATCCTACTGCCTGTAATAAACACACAAGTTTGGTTTACAACCTTTCTTCTCAGCAGCTTCTGTTTTGGTTTGATTTGATGATGCTTTGTCAGTGTTTTTGTTGTTTGTGCTGAATTGGTGGGGTTTGCTGAACTGTACTGAACCCCTCATCCCAACATTCATAACTGATTATACATTAAAATCATTGATTCCCCCTATGCTAATACTTTTCCGTCTTTCTTTGTGTTAGTTTCACCTTTAACTGCAAACGAACTGTGCTACATTCAGCTGTGTGCAGAAGAATTGTTTTGCTAATTTTCCAGACACAACCACCAACTTACATGTTCTTTGAAACACACATTCATAAACAAAACCTATGTTTGCTAATGTCCCCACACAAAGACTAACCCCCCCCCCCCCCCCCCCCCCCCCCTCCCTTTCCACCCCTTGGGTCATCTAGTTAAGTGAAGTCATGTTGGAAACTAGTTTGCCTGCAGTCAACCCTGTTCCAAACCTATTCTGTGCTAATTTCCCCTCACAATTGCCAGCCTATATATTTTATGTTGAAAAGCAGCTGCTGGGAGACTCTTCCAGGCCATAAACCGAGGGTTTCTTAGTAAGAGAGAAATTGGCAAGAGGACGAAAATGGCTGTTTACCGCTCTACCTATGTACCAGTCCTGACCTATGGGTGTGAGTCATGGGCAATGACAACAGCTCACAGAAGCCAGCTGCAGGCCTCGGAAATGAGATAACCTGAGAAAGGTGGTCCAAGTGACAAGAAGGGACAAAGTCCGCAATCAGACAATACGTCAAGATCTTGATACCCAGCCCTTAGTAACCCGAGTAGATCAGTCACAGTTACGATGGTTTGGACATGTATGCAGAATGGGAGGCTAAGAACCAGGGAACCAGACCTTCGGGACAACCCAGGGTGCGCTGGGAAGACAACATCCGACAGTCCCTAACTGACAGAGGACTGGAATGGAACAAAGCCAGAAAGAAAACTGCTGATAGAGACGTCTGGCGATCTCTCTGGCAAACCTCTACACCCCAAGGTAGAAGAGGAGCGACTAAGTAAGTATATTTTATGTTAATTTTCCCACACACTGCTTATACACTGCAGACCTGGCTAGGAGAACTCACAGGGTACTCCAAAAATAGTTCTTCTTGTAAGAAAATCCTCTTATCCAGATAAAGAGTTTAAGAATACGTGAATGCATTTGCATCATACAGTACAATAATGAATTAGCATTGAATATAACTTGTGACACCGAAGCTGTGCCCATGTTCTGATATTAGTCACAAGATATTAGTGACTCCTTCATTCCATATTCTATTTGATCATCCCTCCATCCTGTTTCTACTTTCAGCCTGCATTATATTCCCGTGAGTTTTATCCATGCAATCTGAAACTTCCAACTGTGAAATAGTTTGTAACCTTAACCCAGTCATCTCCTCAAGAACTTGTACTCCTACTAAACTATGCAGCATTATTACGTGCTTTTTTTAAGTCTTAATTTTCATTCGTACTTTAGTAACTGAGTTAATAAAATGTCTTTCAATGCCCTCTTCACATAAAGAAATAAGAAATGACATTACCTCATATTCAGCCTGCATTATTTACAGGTTAATTCTATCTGTGCAATTTGGAACTTCCATTTATGAAACAGTTACTGGTAACCCACAATCATCGTCACCTCCATCTACGTCAGCACAGAGAATGAATTAATCAAGTAACAGAAAGTGTATTGATTGGGACTCATAGAAAGATAGAAGAACACACTAGACAACATAAAAATCGAAAGCTATAGTTACCGTGCCGGGAATTGAACCTGTCACCTCCAGACTGCGTGTGCGCCTCGCCATGAATACGAGTGCACTAAGAACATGGTCAACTAGGCACCCCCCAAAAAAAGTGTCGTATTGGCTATGTCTTATCGTATAGCTTGAAATCCACAACTATGGAATACGGACAGAATTCATTTCAAACCATTGAAACGGCAACATAGGTTACATAAATTTATATTAAGAAAGCATATGTCGAATAACAATCACAGCAGTACAGAGAATGAAACTGTTGGCAAACACAGCCTGGCAGAATTAGAGGTACAACAGCTGAAAGATGATGCACTTGTTGTTTACACCAATGGTTCTCTGTTCATCAGGGTGTCAGATCTGGCTGATCTGAGGTTATTTGAAATAACAGGTGTAAGAATGTGGGAACAAAGAACTTGGTGTAGATCCGTCAGAAAGGGACGTGTGAATGCGTAATCAGTTATGTTGCATTATCTTCACAGCACTCTGAACACATCCATAGATTCGCTTCTCACCGCATTTATCAGCATCCTGCCAGTCCTGTGCTGGTTGATTTGACAAGACTTTGTGTGCTTCTCATGCTTGGATGTGCCAATCTTTACTCCCAATTCTCGTATTCTTAGCATTAATGTGGAGTCGTTGCTTCCAAAATCCTTGGAACGTCTTATCTTTCATAGGACAATGACAATGTCTGCTCATCTGCAACAGTGACAAACAGACAGGGAACCCACCAGGTCATAGATATAATAAACAAATACACAAGAACTGATTGGAACTCATGGACAGATGTAGGGAGATCAGAGGACACACTAGACAACATAAAAATTGAAAGCTATAGTTACCATGGCGGGATTGAACCTGTCACTTCTAAGGGACGAAGGCGCCTTGGTGCAGAAATAAGTGTACTAACACGCATGGAATAAATCATCATCATGTAGCAGGTCCTTTGCATAACTTCGCTCTCATTACGGTCTGCCTGGAAGAAACTTGGTCTCTCGCCAGCTCCCCTGCCTCATGCACCTCCATACTTAAGGAGTCACATATATCCTGTGTCCATCTTCGTGTTGGTCGCTCCTTCCTGGTACCATGCCTCCTGCTATAATTTTCTTTCCAATCCGTCGTGGCGCTTGACATGACCAAAATATTTCAGCTTCCGAGACAGGATGCTGTTTATTAGCCAATCTTCCTTGATGTTCAGATCTTTCAAAATGTCAGTATTTCTCCTCTTTTTCGTCCAAGATATTCTGCGAATCTTTCTATGGCATTTCAGCTCAAAAGTTTTCTTAAGGACTGGGAGATAGTCCACGACTTACATTGGTATGTTGCTACAGGGAAGATGCATGCTCTCAAAGTTCTAATTTTGATCTCCTTGCTGGTGCTTAACCATAGAATTTTTAGGCTGTTTGTCTTTGCATTGCTATGACCATCCTCCTTTTAATTTTTATTGAATAAATACATGGTGTAAAAAAGTCACAGAAAAAGCTATATTCAGATTTGACTACGTCGGAGATTTTTCACAGCGGTTAGAGATCTCAAAAGGTGAACAAAAACAATTTATATAAGAAAAAATTGTTGCCAATACCTTGAGAATAAAATAAGACTTACAATTATGTGCAGCTGTAAGAAGGCAACACAATTTGCCTTTTATCAGGCAGTGAAAAGAGTCACACCGGAGAACACTGTGGCAGTCG